AGGTGCAGGGGCCCAAGGACCTGGGCCATTTTCTACAGCTTTCCCAGGCCATAGCAGAGATCTGGATCAGAAGTGGAGCAGCCAGGACTCAAACCGGCACCCATATGGGATGCCGGCACTGCAGGTGGCGGCTTTACTTGTTACACCTCAGCGCCGGCCCCCATATGCAGTTTCAATGACACTCAGCCATCCCCCTCCTGAGAAAAATAGCCAGGAGAAAAGAGAACATGTGCATGAAATAACTTGCATGAATGCTCCTATCAACTTCACCCATAAAACCAAAAGTCAGACACTGCTGACATGCCTTCAGCTGTCAAATGGACAAACAAGCTGTGATGTGTCCATTCCACACGTGGTACATGACCTAGCCAGCATAAACAGATATGCACAGAATAGCTGGCATAGCCAACTGCATGCGTGGGTCTCAAAAGCGTCATGCTAGGTGAAAGAAGCCAGACTCAAAAGTCTACACACTGCATGGCACCACTGATTTGAAATTTAAAAAAAAAAAAAAAGGACTAGGAGAGGGGATTGAGTACAAAGGGGGACGGGGAAATCTGACTGCGACAGTGGTTTTAGGACTGTGTTTATCAAAACTCATCAAGCTTTACATTAAAAACTGATTAACTTTGGTCTATGTTAGTAATAGGTCATACAGCTGAGCAAAAAATGAGTGAATGGATAAACAGAAAAACAAAAAGATTTAGAGATGATGGATTATAAAAGAATAGATAATACATGATAAACCAGTATGGGGGGGAGCAGTGCTGTGGCATAGCAGGTAAAGCCACCACCTGCAGTGCTGGCATCCCTTATAGGCACTGGTTCGAGTCCCGGCTGCTCCACTTCTGATCCAGCTCTCCGTTATGGCCTGGGAAAGCAGTAGAAGATGGCCCAGGTCCTTGGGCCCCTGCACCCACATGGGAGACCGGGAAGAAGCTCCTGGCTCCTGGCTTTGAATTGGCTCAGCGCTGGCTGTTGCGGCCATTTTGAGAGTGAACCAGTGGATGGAAGATCTCTCTCTCCCTGTCTCTACTTCTCTCTGTAACTCTGTTTTTCAAATAAATAAAAATAAATCTTTTAAAAAAACAGTATATGAGTGGATATATATATATAATTGATTGATATAGATAGATGACAATGATGATAGATAATATAAATGTTATATAGGTAGAAAGGAAGATAGGTCATAGAAAAATGGAGAGGAAGGAAAGAATGATACACATAAAAAATGATGGAATTGATGTATACATAGAAAGAGATGATAGAAGGCATCTCTCGGGGCCGGCGCCATGGCACAGTAGGTTAATCCTCCGCCTGCGGAGCCAGCATCCCATATGGGCGCCAGGTTCTAGTCCCGGTTGCTCCTCTTCCAATCCAGCTCTCTGCTATGGCCTGGGAAGGTGGCCCAGGTGTGTGGGCCCCTGCACCCGCATGGGAGACCAGAAAGAAGCACCTGGCTCCTGGCTTTGGATCAGCACAGCTCCAGTCATTGCAGCCACTTGAGGAGTGAACCAACGGAAGGAAGATCTTTCTTTCTGTCTCTCACTCTTACTGTCTGTAGCTTTACCTCTCAAATAAATAAATTAAATCTTTAAAAAAAAAAAAAAGATAGCATCTCTGCCCCCTCATTCACCAAGCCCAAGAGGAAGCCACAGAGTAAGGAAACCTCTCGATGCTGTCAACCTGGGCCATTTCCCCAAAACCCACTGACCTGAGCCATCTCCCCAAAGCACAAAGCGAGACCCAGAGGGCAAAGAGAAGACAATCAGAACCTCCCAGGCCAGCAGCCAAGCAGCACATCAGATCCAAGTCCTCAAAGCTTTCCAACTTCAGGATACCAGTGAAGTCACACACACACAAATCTTTTCATCCCATTAGCTCAGTTGTCCCCAGCCACCATTTCACGATTCCTAACCTCCCAACTAGCATCCCTTCCAGGCAACCCCCAGAATGGGAGAGCCTCTGATGTGCTTACAAATAAGTCGGCCTCGGCCGGCGCTGCGGCTCACTAGGCTAATCCTCCGCCTGCGGCGCCAGCACCCCAGATTCCAGTCCCGGTTGGGGCACCGGATTCTGTCCCGGTTGCTCCTCTTCCAGTCCAGCTCTCTGCTGTGGCCCAAGAAGGCAGTGGAGGATGGCCCAAGTGCTTGGGCCCTGCACCCGCATGGGAGACCAGGAGGAAAACACCTCGCTCCTGGCTTTGGATTGGCCCAGCACATCGGCCATAGTGGCCATTTGGGGGGTGAACCAACGGAAGGAAGACCTTTCTTTCTCTCTCTCTCTCTCTCTCTCTCTCTCTCTCACTGTCTAACTCTGCCTGGTAAAAACATATATATATATATATATATATATATATATATATATATATAAAAACAAATAAGTCAGTCTCACCAGGTACCTCTCCCTCATTTACATAAAGCCAAGGGGACAATGATAATATTCTCCTTTGTACAGCTCTCAGAAAGAAGGGTCCTTAAACTTGCTTGAATATCAGCAGATATTATAGAGTTTACACTAAGAGTCTGTTCATGCATATAGCACAGGTGGAATTCTCCCAGGTCAACGACTCAAATGTCAAGAGTTACTCTGAAAGCCGGCGCCGCAGCTCAATAAGCTAATCCTCCGCCTTGCGGCGCCGGCACACCAGGTTCTAGTCCCGGTCGGGGTGCCGGATTCTGTCCCAGTTGCCCCTCTTCCAGGCCAGCTCTCTGCTGTGGCCCAGGAGTGCAGTGGAGGATGGCCCAAGTGCTTGGGCCCTGCACCCCATGGGAGACCAGGAGAAGCACCTGGCTCCTGGCTTCAGATCAGTGCAGTGTGCCGGCCACAGCAGCCATTGGAGGGTGAACCAACGGCAAAAAGGAAGACCTTTCTCTCTGTCTCTCTTTCTCACTGTCCACTCTGCCTGTCAAGAAAAAAAAAAGAGTTACTTTGACAGATCATTCCAGAAAGATCCAGTAAAAGAAGGAAGAGAGACTTGCTACCTTGGGCAACTGGAGCTTCACCCCAACGGGCATTTTTCACACGACTCTGTGGATCATATTCCAGAATGTCCCACCGGAGACAGACCAGGGAGCCAGGGAAGAAATGTATCTACAACTCCCACCCACCCCTCATTTGTTGAGGCTGCTTTTAACTCACACATGAGAAAGTCGCCATGTGGACAATCTCGAGTGTCCACTAACAAATGTCCATTAATAAATGCTTTAAAGAGATCAGTGCATCCCATATCCCATCGCCATAGTGATTGGCTAAAGCAGAAAGTGCCACTCAGGGGGATGGTGATTCTGCCCCCTAGAGGATAACTGGAAGGTCTGGAGATTTTGTTTGTCACAGCAGAGGGGGTGCTGCTGGTGTCTGTCTAATGGGTAGAGGCCACTGTTAAATCTCCTTTAGGGCACAGGACAGCTCCCTACAGCCAGGAAGTATCCAGCTTCAAGTATCAGCAGTGCCAAGCCTGAGAAACCCTAGGTGGAGGATGGATGCATGAGCCAACTGGAATCAACAGAAAGTCCACGCCAAGCGTAGCTGTTTCTGTCTTCCCTGGAAAGTGCAATATGGCCTGTGACCTTTGTTAACAAAGAAGAGTGGAGGTGTGCAGTGTGGAGAAAGAGATGGGGTTGGGCATCAGGTGGTGCAAGGATGATGCTCAGAGAAAAACTGTAGGGATGAGGAACCCACCCCCTGTTGACCTCCCTCGAGCCCCCTCATCAGCTCCGCCCTGAAGCTGTTGCTTGTTACTTGTGTGGCTAATAAACCCCTTTCTTGTTCAAGCTGGTTGAGTTGACTTGCTTCACTTGCAAATAAAAGCTCTCTAACCAGCTGGGAGAATCCGTGTCTGTTAAATCTCATCTTGCTTTTCTAGAAGGGTCCTGGTGCAGTAAACACAACCCAGCCTTGGCACACAAGCTGGGACACACAGCATCTATTAGGGGCTGGCACTGTGGCACAGCAGGTTAAAGCCCTGGCCTGAAGCGACCCAGAGGAAGCTCCTGGCTCCTGACTTTGGATCAGCACAGCTCTGGCCATTGCGGCCATCTGGGGAGTGAACCAGTGGATGGAAGATCTCTCTCTGTGTCTTGACCTCTCTCTGTAACTCAGTCTTTCAAATAAATAAAATAAATCTTTTAAAAAAAAAAACATAAAGTATCTATTACATGCATGCAGAGCCCATGGAAGCATGAAGGTGGGATTTGTGCAGACCCAGCATCAGGCATTTACAAAGCAAGTAACGAATACCTGTTGGCATCAATGGAATGAACACTTAATTAACTGGAATTAATGCTGCACCTGGACCTGTGCTCCCTCCAGCTCTCAGGAACCATTTTAGCCCTCAATCATTGATTTTCCCTGCACAGTAGCTTCTTCTTCTGTTCTGTGTTTGGTCTTTGACTATCAATAGGTTCAAATCTGCCTATGGCCTTAAAAGCTCCACCAACTGACAAATTCTTAGCACATCCATGAAATACATTTCTTTTAAAAAAAAAAAGATTCATTTATTTGAAAGGCAAAGTTACAGAGAGGCAGAAGGGGAGAGAGAGAGAGAGAGAGAGAGAGAGAGAGAGAGATCTTCCATCCGCTGACTCACTCCCCAGATGGCCGCAATGGTCAGAACTGCACTGATCTGAAGCCAGGAGCCAGGAGCTTCTTCTGGGTCTCCACATGGATGCAGGGGCCCAAGGACTTGGGCCATCTTCTACTTTCCCAGGCCATGGCAGAGAGCTGGATCAGAAGTGCAGCAGCCAGGACTCAAACGGGCACCCATATGGGATGCTGGCACCACAGGCAGCCGCTTTACTGCTACACCACAGTGTCGGCCCCGAAAGAAAGACACTTCTTGAATGAGGGAATATGATTGGCTCACTGTAAGTCAGGTGACCACCCCTGATCCAACAAGTAGAGTCACGTGACAAAAATGGAATCCTGAATGGCAGGCAAACTCAAGGTAGCCCCATCACCACCATCTCTCCCCGTCTTGCCTAGACACAGACCAGTGACACTGAGTGTTAACTATTCCTTTATTAGGTGTTGAGGGAAGCGGGACTGTACAATGCAGGGTCTGGGAATTCAGCTATGCAGGGATTGTGACCAGAAGCCATATTATAAAAATAGTCTAAGCATACATCAATGCTGTCTTGAAGCTGGACCACATCCCAGAAGGAGGAAGTGACGTCAGGCAGCTCCTCCCCTTCCTGCAGTCCCATATTTATAAGGAGGCAAAATGAAATGCACACACCTTCCCCCCCAGCTGTCCCCTAACTGCCACCCCGGGGTTCCCAAAGGGAGGAGAGGGCCCAGGCTTTGGGAGGTGGGGGTGGAGGCCAGGAGGCGGGCTCTGGGGCCAGAAGAACCCTTCCTTCAAGGTTACAGAAAAAATCTCATCTGGAATGCAGTGAAGTGAGGGAGGTGGGGTAGGGAGGGGTGGGCTCCCAAGTCTCCCCTGGCCCCTGGCCCCCAGAGGGTGCGCCCAAGAGTGCCTACTTGGTACACACTAGGGCGTCGTGTACTCAGTACACGGGACCCCAGTCCTGCCTGTGTACTCAGTACACCGAATCCAGCTTGGCCGAATGGGCCCACAAACTCAGCCCCATGGGGGCACTTGGGGGGTGCAGGGATTTGCCCCCCGGGGCGGAGAGAGAAGGGAGGGACTATCTCCATATATATATTTTGTAAAAAATAATAATAATAATAAGTTTGTTTAAATGAATTTTGTTTCTATACAAAATGTAAAAAAAAAAGAAATAAAGAAAGAAAAATAATAATAATTCACTCGTGCCCGAGTATGAGGAAACAACATAGGGTGAGGAAGAGTGGGGGAGGGGAAGGGAGGCGTAGGGAGGGGGGAGGAGGAAGGAGGGAGGCGGTCCCAGACTTATCCCAAGACTGAGAGGGTAGGAGGTCATCCCACCCTTTATAAATAAGGAAGACTGGAGCCCTGGGCTGGTGACCCATGGTGGTCACACAGCAAGGCAGGGGAGGGTAGGTGCAGAGAGAGAAAAGGGGAGGGGAGAGGAGTCGGGATGGGGTGTCTCTCCGGCCCCCCCAAGATTCCAAGCACGCAGGAGCATCTCAGGCCAACACCTGCCTCTTGGGAGTGACCTCCGGCTGGGGCCCCAGCTGGGTCTGGGCCTGAGCAAGGGAGCCAGGGACAGACAAAGGGTGCGGCTGGGCAGGCAGCGCCCCGGCAGCCGTGGCCGTGGCCGTGGCCCCAGCAGCGGTGGCCGGGCTGGGTGTGGATTCGGACCAGTCCGAGAGAGAAGGGGGTGAGGGGCTGGCCCACTGTTCGGGGGACTCGGGGGATGGGGTCAGGTAAGGGTGCTCGCTGGGGACCCGCAGGAAGCGGGCCTTGGGGGGGCTGCCATGGGCCCCAGGAGCTGGGTACTCCTCACCATGCCCTGGGGCCGCCAGGTAGGGCGGGGGCCGCTCCTGGGGGGAGACTGGGGTCCCAGGGTTGAGCAGCTGGGGTCCCGGTGCCAGGGGGAGCAGAAACGAGGGACCCGGCGGGGCCGGTGGGGGCAGCCGGGCCCAGTCGAGGGGCACAGCCACAGGGTTCAGCAGGCCGAGGCTGAGCACACAGCCCCCGGGGGGCTGGCGCCCCAGAGGACCTGCCCGGCCTGCGCCCCCAAGCTGTGCCAGGGACACCGCGGTAGCCGCAGCTGCCGCATAGGGCCCCTCGAGGGGAAAGGCCCCTGGGGACGCAGGGGGCCCCCCGAAGGGCCGCGGGGAGTCCAGTGAGTCCACAGGGGACAGCGTGACCGAGCTCTCAGCCAGGGGCCCTGGGCAGGCCAGGGTGAGCTTCTTGCCCCGCCCCCGGGCACCTTGCGCCCCCAGCCCTGCCTTTCCCGGAGGCCTCCGGCTCTTCTTGGCCCCCGACTGTGTGGCCTTGAGGCCCGGGAGGAAGGCCCCGGGTGGGCAGAGCAGGGGCCCCAGACCATGGGGGCCCGGGGGACTGCGGGGCCCGCTGGGCTGGTCCAGCAAGCGCACAATGTCCTGGTGCAACCTCTCCTGGGCCACGTCCCGCGGTAGCCGATCCAGGTGGTCTGTGATCTCGCGGTTGGCGAAGTGGTCCAGGAGCAGTTTGGCGGCCTCATAGCTGCCCTCGCGAGCGGCCAGGAACAGCGGGGTCTCCTCCTGGGGGGTGGGGGAGACAGGTAGGACCCACAGAGGTCAAGATCAGCAAGATGACCTCCAGTAGTCTGGGGGTAGAGTGGGGAGGGAACCTCAGAGCTGAGAGTTTGCTGGGATATGCTACACCCCCTAAAGGCGCATGTGTTAAAAGCTTCATTTCCTGGGGTCCACGCTGTGGCACAGCGGGTTAAAGCCCCAGCCTGCAGCACCAGCATCCCATCTGAATACCGGTTTGAAGCCCAGCTGCTCCACTTCCAATACGGCTCCCTTCTAATGTGCCTGGGAAAGCAGTGGAAGATGGCCCAAGTGCTGGGGCCCCTGCACCCACGTGGGAGACCCGAAAGAAGCTCCAGGCTCCTGGCTTTGGATCAGCCCAGCTCTGGTCATTGCAGCCACTTAGGGAGTGAACCAGCAGGTGGAAGATCTCTCTCTCTCTCTCTCTCTCTCACTCTGCCTCTAAAGTAAATCAATGAATTTTTTTTAAAAACATCCTCAATGAATAAAATCCTGAAATCTTACATAAGGACAGAACCTGTCTCTGAGCCCCTCTGAGTTTCTTTTTCCCATCTGTAAAACAGGATGACGTAATATAATCTTGGGAGGGTTTTTAAGCTACAGTCACAACAGTGAGAATCCACTAAGCACTTAAACCCATGAACTCACCAGGGCTGCTGTTACTCCCCACTTCTCAGATGAGAAAACTGAGATTCAGGGGAGTTAAGCAACTTGCCCAGGTCACACAGCAATGGCCAGAAATTCCATTACTCCCTGATTCACTGTTGGAGCCCCTGAGCCCCAAATCCAACCCCTGAAAGTAGGATGAATACCCCTACCAAGCTCACTGCACCTGCTCTCTGCCCCATCTGGGGGCTACACTGACCCCGGCCCCCAGCCAGGTCCAAGGCCAGAGCTCACCTTGCTATCCTGCATGTCCTTGTTGGCTCCATTTTTGAGAAGGGCCAGGGTCGCTTCTACGTTGTTCACAGCGGCAGCCCAGTGTAAAGCCGATTTCCCTGGGGGTGCAGAAGGAGGTCAGACCCAGGGCCAGACTCACGTCCGGCCGCCCCCATGGTAGCAGCCGTGGGGGTCAGGAGGATGAGCTTAGGTCAGGGGGCAGGATTGCCCTGAGGATCTGAGCACCTGTGTTTGGGTGCGGGTGTGTGTAAGTCTGTGCAATGCATCTCTCTGTCCACAGGGGGGCACTGTGTGGCTCTCCTTCTGTTGGACCTAGCACCGTCTGGTCCAATGCAGGAGGTAACAATCGCATGTGTGACTCTTCAGACTTAAACCAAGCAAAATTAAAAAAAAAAAAAAGTATCGCCAAGAACCATCTTCTCGGGTTCTGCTGCGGTGCAGCAGGTTAAGCTGCCCTTTGCAATACTGGCTTCTCCATTGGAAGTGCAGATTCGAGTCCCTGCTGCTCTGCTCCTGATCCACAGCAGGGGATGGCTCAAGTGGGCTCAAGTGCTTGGACCTCTGACACCCACTGTGGGAGACCCAGAGAGAGCTCCTGTCTCCTGGCTCCAGCCTAGCCCAGTCTCAGCTGATGCAGGTAGCTGGGGAGTGAGCCAGTGGATGCATCCTTCCTCTCTCTCTCTCTCTCTCTCTCTCTCTCTCTCACTCACTCATTTTGGTGCAAAAAAAATTTTTTTTGAGGAGCTGGCACTGTGACACAGCAGGTTAAGCCATGGCCTGCAGTCCCATATGGGACCTTCCGTATGGGTACTGGTTAGAGTCCCAGCTGCTCTGCTTGTGGCCACTTGGGGAGTGAACCAGCAGGTGCAAGATCTCTCTCTCTCCCTTTCTCTCTCTCTCTCTCTCTCTCTCTTTCTCTGTAACTCTGCCTCTCAAATAAATAAATAAACAATTCAAAAGAAATTTTTTGAGGGCCAGCTCTGTGGTTCACTTGGTTAATCCTTTACCTGTGGTGCCGGCATCCCATATGGGCACCGGGTTCTAGTCCCGGTTGCTCCTCTTCCAGTCCAGCTCTCTGCTGTGGCCCAGGAAGGCAGTGGAGGATGGCCCAAGTGCTTGGGCCCTGCACCCGCATGGGGGACCAGGAGGAAGCACCTGGCTCCTGGCTTCGGATCAGCGTGGTGCGCCAGCCATGGCTGCCATTTAGGGGGTGAACCAATGGAAGGAAGACCTTTCTCTCTCACTCTCTCTCTCTCTCACTGTCTAACTCTGCCTGTCAAATAAAAAAATTTTTTTGAAATCCATACAAGCAAGGGGGTCTTCAAATAATCCAAGGAAAATGCATATTATGAAAAGACTATACGTGGATTGTATTTTTTTTTTTCCTGCAAAGTGCCCTGGGACGATCAGGCAGGTTTGCGCAGTTACTGCGACGGTCCAGCAGGTGGCAGCAGAGCGGAAAGCACGCGGAAAGGAAGGGCGCCTGCTCCAGATTCGGTTTGCAGCTAAGTCCTGGCGAGGTGCGCACGGAGCTTCCGTGACTGGGGTGAGTTCACACACACACAGGACGGTGGTAAGTGCCCACGTGACCCCTTCCCTCTCCGCCCCCCACTGCATCGGCAGCCTACCGAGTTCGTCCACGGCGTTGACGTCAGCGTGGCTGGCAATGAGCTCCTCGACCATGCCTTCCACCGCCAGGCGGGCCGCCAGGATCAGCGCCGTGGAGCCGTCCGCCATGCGGGCATCCAGGTCTGTGGAGCGGTTCCGGATGAGAATCTGAGAGAGAGGGGATACATCAGAGGAGACCAGTGCAGGCAGCAGCTTGAAGCCAACACCGCCGCCACCACCACCACCACCACCCCGCAGCCCCCCGGGGGAAGTCTCCAACCACCACCGCCCACCCGAGCCTCTTGGGTTTGCTGACGACGGGGTCACAGCCCAATACACCCATGGCAGGGATGGGGGTGGGGGCCAGCATTGCGGCGCCGTGGGTTAAGCTGCCACCTGCAACGCTAGCATCCCTGTTCCAGTCCCGCCGCTCCACTTCTGACCCAGCTCCCTGCTAATGCTCCTGGGAAAGCAGCAGAGGCTCACCCAGTGCCTGGGCCCCTGCCACCCACTTAGAAGACCCAGATGGAGATCTAGGCTCCTGGCTGCAACCTTGCCAAAAAAAAAAAAAGGCATTGCATCTGCCTAACCTACCAAAACATCTCCGTTTAGCCCAGCCTACCTTAAACACCGAGCATGTAAAAATGTCTTCTCAGAGACAAACCAGAGCTCCAATTCCAGTGCAACCCGACGCCCACCCCGAGGTTCCACACACCGCAGCCCAGGGCTGTCAGGTCTGTCTCACCTGGAACACGCCCTGGGCATCGGCGGTGACAGCTGTGTGCAGGGGCGTGCGACCAGAGTGGTCCTGGGCATTGGTGTCGGCTCCGGCATCCAGCAGCCGCTTGGCCGCGTCAGCCCGGGCGTAGCGGGCAGCCAGGTGCAGGGCAGTTTCGCCTGTGCGGTCAGTCCGGGCCCCAAGCTGCGCCCCCTGGCAAATGAGGTCTGAGATGATGCTGGCTGACGTGTCTTCAGCCTCGTCCTCCTCGGTGGGCATGGGCTCCAGGGCCCCTCCACAGAACGAAGCCAGCATGAGCGGGGTGAAGCCATCTGAAGGTCAAGAGACAGTGTGTCACAAGAACATGGTGTGGGGGGGCCTTTCCAGAGAGTATTAGAAAGAGCACCATCCAAGGGGCCGGCATCGTGGCATGGCAGCTTAAGCCACTGCCTGTGTCACCAGCATCCCATAGGGGTGCCAGTTCGAGTCCCGGCTGCTCCATTTGCAATCCAGTTCCCTGCTAGTGGCCTGGGAAAGCAGTAGAAGATGGCCCAAGTCCTTAGGCCCCTGCACCCATGTGGGAGACCCGGAAGATCCTGGCTCCTGGTTTCGGATTGGCTCAGCTCCAGCCGTTGTGGCCATCTGAGGAGTGAATCAGTGGATGGAAGACCTCTCTCCCTCTCTCCCTCCCTCTCTCTCTCTCACTCTGCCTCTCAAATAAATAAATAAATCTTTAAAGAAAATAAAAGCAAAGCACAGCTAAGGGGTGTTAGAGTCTGAATCCTGGCAAAAGATGGATCCACTCTGGATACCCCGCTCTGCTGCAGTCAGCAGGGAGCATTTTCCCTGGTTCTGCTCATGGGAGCCACCACCAGCACCCCAATTCCTCACCCTCAAGTGCCTCCCTAGAGGGACTAGGGCTAGGCAAGTGCACATGGAATCGGTCAATCTGCATATTCCAACCCCCCGGCCACACCAATTGGCTCAAAGATGCACATGTGACTCGATGTCCAATCAGAATGCACCCTGGGACTTTGGCAGGCACAGCTAGGCAGGAGGTTGAAGAAGGCTGGAGCTAAGAAGCAGGAGAGTGGCAGACAGAATCCTGGAGGCAGGTGTGTTCCCATGCCCTCTCCAGCTACACAAATGCAGACGTAACAATGCACAAGTGGGCCAGGGGAAGGGGCACCTTACCTGGGCCACGCACGTTGACATCCATGCCGTCAGTATCCGCGTCGCCCTGGGGGGGTGTGAGCGCCATGGCTGGGGCCACGCGGATGTCAGCGGCCACCAGGTGGTGTTGGGTCCACTGGCGGCAATCCACAGCTTCCTCGGCCCCCATGCCCGGCTCCTCCACCTGTGGGGACAGGGACCCGGGTTCTCAGGCCTTACCCTTGGGATGTGGGAGAGACACAATCAGGTTGGGGCTGGGTGTTCACTGGGCTCCTCACATGGACACCACACACAGCCCTGCACATTCATCAGTAGTCTGTTTGATAGGGGCCAGCACTATGTGGAGCAGGTAAAGCCATTGCCTGTAGCATCCTGTGTGGGCGCCAGTTCAAGTCCTGGCTGCTCCACTTCCGATCCAGCTCTCTGCTATGGCCTGGGAAAGCTGCGGAAAATGGCCCAAGTGCTTGGGCTCCTGCACCTGCTTGGGAGACCTGGAAGAATCTCTGGGCTCCTGGCTCCAGCCTGGCCCAGCCCCACCCATTGTGGCCATTTGGGGAGTGAACCAGTGGGTGGAAGATATCTCTCTCTCTCCTTTTCTTTTTTTAAAAAAATTAGTGGTAGAAAAAAAATGGGGCAGGGGAAGGGAGGTCCTTTCAGAATCACTATTAATCTGGGAAAGGCATATAGATGGGTCAGGAGGAAGGAGAGAAAGGGGACAGGGCCCAGGCTCCCGCAGTCCCCAAGTCACCTGGAGGAGCAGGTGTTTGGCCTGGTAGTTAAGATGCCCAGGTACCACATCCGAGTACCTCTGCCTCTCAATACCAGCTTCCAGCTAACCCACACCTAGGAGTGTGGCCCTCAAGGAATTGGTTCCTGCCACCTTGGTGGGACTCCTGGATGGAGTTCTCAGCTCACAGTTTGGGATAAGCCCAGTCCAACTGCAGGCATTTAGGAACTGAATCAGTGAATCCAGGCTCACTGCTGCCTCTCTGCCTCTCTGTCTCCCTCCCTCCCTCCCTCTCATAAATTTTTACAAGGAATATTACATAGTAGGAATATTTCACATTTCATCCAACTCATGTCCAAGTACAGGAATCAGAATGCTATAGTGTGATATTTGGGTCCTGGGCTTTTGGGAGAGTGACCCACCAGATCTAATACCTCTCTCTCTCTCCCTCTCTCTCTCTCTCTCTCTCTCTCTCCTCCCCCCTCCTACACACACACACACACAATAGAAAGAAAGTACAGCCTGGGAATCCCCCCTGGGAAGACCCCAAGGGGAGGGGCCCAGGTGACAAATCGCTCCCCTCCCTCCAAAGTCACACCAAGGAGAAAAGGAGGTGACTTGTCTTCTGGAGCCAGGGAGGTGGGAGATTAGAGACCGTGGGCCCCATCACTGGAGCCAGGGAGGAGGGAGATTAGAGACGCCCCGTGGGCCCCATCACTGGCCATCAGAGGCCCACCCAGAACCCTGAGGGCAGAGGGCAGCACCTTCAGTCGCTTGGCCTCCGGGCACTCTGTGTCCATCCAGTCTGTGGCCACCTCCCCCATCAGACTCTCACCCTTGGCCATGTTCCTGTGTGGACAATGGGAAGGCAGGGATGTGAGAAGGGACGCGGGAGACTGGGGTCAGAGCAGAGGTCCTAGGGGCGAAGGGCAGGGGGCAGGGGGCAGGGGTTAATCGGGCAAGGTGGCGAGACCGGGTCCAGTGACAAGGGGCTGGGGGCGTGGCCGTGTGATGGGGGCCTAGGGAGATGGTCAGGGCCGTGGCCAAGCGTGAGGTCAGGGGTCGGGGTCACGGGGCAGGTTAAATGCAGGGTCCTTGAGGGCACAGGTCCACACCATCAAGGCAGGGACCGAGAATCTGGGTGAGCGGGGCTCAGAGTCAAGGTCGCGAAGGCAGGGCCCCTGTGGTCAGGACGGGGCGGGCAGGGTGCTCACTTCATGCCCAGCGCGTCCTGGCCCACGGGCTCCCGCCGGCCCTTGTGGCCACCGGCCACGTCCTTGTGCAGAGCGAAGCCCTCGGGGAACCAGAGGGTGCTGTGCTCGCGTTTGCGCCGCGCCACCATGACGCCCAGGACGAGGATGAGCAGCAGGAAGACGGCGCCCGCCGCCAGCAGCGGCAGCAGCGGCAAGCTCGGCTCCGGGGGCTCCAGCGGCTCCCCTGCGGGAGGGGCGGGGCTTCAGCCGAGGGCGGGGCCCCGAGGGTGGGGCTCCAAAGGAGGGGAGGGGCTCCAGCTGAGGGGCAGGGCTCCAACCAAGAGGCGGGTCACAAGCCATGGGGCGGGACTTCAGCCACTGGGCGTGGAACTCAGCCGAGGGCGGGGCCCCGAGGGGTGGGGCTCCAAGGGAGGGGAGGGGCTCCAGCTGAGGGGCGGGGCTTCATCCGAGGGCAGGGCCCCGAAGGGGTGGGGCTCCAAAGGAGGGGAGGGGCTCCAGCTGAGGGGCAGGGCTCCAACCAAGGGGCAGGGCTTCGACCAAGAGGCGGGTCACAAGCCATGGGGCGGGACTTCAGCCACTGGGTGTGGAACTCAGCTGAGGGACGGGGCTTTGCAGCCGAGGGGGCGGAGCTCCAACCAAGGGGAGGAGATTCAGCTGTGGGACCCTACTTCATATATAGGGTGGGGGGCTCAGCCAAGGGGCGGGCGATTCAACTGTGGGCCAGGCATCAGCAGTGGAGTGGGGCTTCAGCCACGGGGCGGAGCTCACGACATGGGGCGGGGCTCCAGCCGGGGAGCCAGGATTCAGCCATGAGTCAGGGCTTCAGCCCTAGGGTGGAATCTGAGCAAGGGCTCAGTCTCGGGGCGGGGCTTAGTTTGTGGGCGGGGCTTCTATGGAACAAGGCCCCGCCCCCTCACCTCCTATCCGCCCTGCCCCGCCCCGCCCCGGCCGGTCCCCCAGGCCGCACCCCGTACATCCCGTAGCGGGTACGGGAAGTCCAAGCGCTCCACCGCAGACAGCGCTCCCAGGTAGTCGGCGGCACTCTGTGCATCGGGGAAGCAGTGGTCATTCTCGGGCGACTGCAGGCACAGCCGGTTGTCAATCTCCAGCATCACTACAGAGCTGGCGGGGACAGAGCAGGGGAGGGGTGGGACAGAGGGCTGGAGGGGTCGCCTGGGCACCCCCCAAGCACCGAGCCGCATCCGCCATCCCCGCCCCCAGGCCTAGCCTTAAATCCGATGCGCACTGCTCTTGCGTCACCGTCACCGTCTTGGTCACTTTCCCAACCCCCACCCCCATTGCCTGGGCTGGAGGGTGCCGCTGTGCCCTTTAACACGGGGCACTACCAATTATCACCACCAAGGGGCAGCACCACCGGGGTTCAAACGCCTTCTCCCCCCCATGCGTTGCCAGGGACGCGTTGCTAAGGCCTTCAGTCCAGCTTTGAATCCGATGCACACTGCTCTCGCATCCCAGTCTTGGTCACTTTCCCCACCCCCACCCCCCACTGCCCGGGATGGGAGGCGTTGCTGCGCCCTTTAACACGGGGCACTACCAGTTCTCACCACCAGGGGCAGCACCACCAGGGTTCAAACGCCTCCCCCGCCCCACCTCCACGCATCGCCAGGGACGCGTCGCCAAGGCCGAACCCTACCCGCGTCCCGGCTCACTCACCCGATCACCTCCGGCGCCAGCTCGCGCCGGGCCCGGGCCTCGGAGGCCACGCTGCCGGGCCGGTGGTAAGGGAAGATCATGGCCTGGCCGCGCGCGTCCAGGCGGAAACGCAGCGAGGTGCGCAGGATGGCGCTGAGCCGCTGCAGGAAGTCGGCGCCGGAGCGCAGCAGCTCCTCGGGGGGCAGCAGCACGGTGAGCACCAGCACGCCGCGGGCCAGCAGCGCCGGCACCTCGCGCGCGCAGTCCAGCCCGTCCCAGCCGCACTCCTCGGTGTTGCAGCCCTGGTCACAGCGGCCGTCGGCGAAGTGGTCGGCGCAGTATTTCTCGTACACGGGGCTGGGTGGGTGGGACGGGGTGCAAGAGAGAGAGAAGGGCGGGGAGGGGGCCGGGGTCAGGGCTTGCACGCAGCGGCTCGGAGCGGGCCACTCTCAGGCTCACTCCAAGCTGAGCACCCTTTATCCAACCAATAAAAAGACCGCTTGGGACCACGAGTGCTTCCGATTCCACGGGCACAAGCAGCCCCTGGAAAGCCAGCCTTCCCCACACACCTGTGCACCTGTGCACCTCCCTAGCCTACAGATCACTGCAGACTTAACCGAAGAGAGGCGCGGCGGGTTAAGCCCTGGCCTGCAGTACCAGCAATCCATGTGGGCACCGGTTGAAGTCCCCTGCTGCTCCACTTCCAACCTAGGTCCCTGCTAATGCGCCTGGGAAGGCAGCAGGTGATGGTCCAACTGTTTGGTCCCTGCCACCCACAGGGGAGACCCGGATGGAGCTCCTGGCTCCAGGCTTCCATCTGATGGAGCCATCTGATGTGGCCATTTAGGGAGTGAACCAGCATATGGAAGATCTCTCTCTCTCTCTAACTCTGACTTTCAAATCAATATCAAATCAATCAATAAATCTTAAAAAAAATTTTTGCCAATCCATGCATGTATTTTTTTTCATAATATACGTTTTTCAGGGACTTTCTGAAGATCCCTCCTGTGTACGGATTTGAAAATGTCTTGCAGCAACATAAACATATCTTTCAATTCCACTTTCCACAAACTTCCAGAAGTCCCTCGGGCACAGCTTTCCAACGCCTCACCAGTAAAAGCCAAACAGAAGCACAAACAAGGCGGCATGGAATTGCAATGCTAAGCAGGAAAATAAGCGAGCGGCATTGCTTAGGAGGACCTCAGGTTTGGGCGGAGGAGGAGGAAGGGAGAGTTATCCAGGTGGTGGGAGCTGCCAGTGCAAAGGCCCTGGGGCACGAGCCGGCCTGGGGTACAGGAGGACCAGCAGAGAGGCTAGGAGGCTGGAGCAGATTGAGTGACAGGCGCCTGGGTGGGGAGATAAGGGCAGGGGGAGGTAGACAAGAGGTCAGGGTGGCAGGTGGAGGGCAGAGGCTGGACGGGTCAAGACAGGGCGCATGTGCACGCACAAACGGACAGGGCGCGCGAGGCTCACTTGCAGGTGCGCTCGCGGCCGCCCGCGTGGCAGTCGAAGTTGTCGTAGAGGCAGGCGGGCGAGCTGCAGGCCGGGTCGCAGCGGCTGTTGTTGAAGAGGCGCCAGCACTGCAGCGCCTCGCACTGCCGCCAGGGGTCGCCCACGCTGAGCGAGCAGTCGCCGCCGTCCCAGCCGCAGCCCGGGCTGTTGCACTCCCGGTCGCAGCGCTGGTCCCCGCGTTTGGCCTGGCAGGCGGCGCGCGGGCACCGTGGCTCCTCCGCCGCCGCCTCGGGCGCCGCCGCGGGCGCCTCGCAGCGCGGCCCGTCCCAGCCAGGGGCGCACGCGCAGCGGAAGAAGGGCGCCAGCGGCGCGGGCCGGCAGGTGCCGCCATGGAGGCAAGGGGCAGCAGCGCAGCTGGCGTTGGCGGCCCCTGGGGGCGGCCCCCGGGCGCCGCGGCAGGAGGATCCCGGGAGTCCTGGGGGGCAGGCGCAGCGCGGGCCGCGGGCCGTCTGCTGGCAGGGGACACCCGCCGGACACTGCAGCTCCCGGCAAGAACTAGCCATCCACTCACAGCGAGGGCCCCAGAAAGGCTGGGGTTGAGCCGGGGTAGGGGGGAGAGAGAAATCGAAGGGGGGTGGGGGGAGAAAGAGAGAGAGGTGGGATCAAGACCCGGGCGAGGCGGACCCCCACCTGCTCCATTTTCAGGGTAAGCCCCGCCTTCCCAAAAAGCCACGCCTCCAACCCCAACCTCACCCACCCCTCCCAAGCCTCCAGGTAACCTCAGAGCCCCCTCTTATTTTGTTCCCCCCAAAGCCACACCTCCCTCCTGAGGCCACACCCACCTACCTGCAGGCAGTGGCAGGTGAAACTGAGACCTCCCCCAGGGCCGGGGCCCGGCCGGCACTGTCCTCCGTGCTGACACGGCTGGGACTCGCAGGGAGACAGCACAGTCTGACAGCGGGGACCTGAGACAAACACGGGCAGGTGGATCAGCCAGCGTGGAGGCAATGGCCAGGGCCCCCCCTTCCTCCCTGTGCCTACCTGTGAAGCCGGGGTGACAAAGACAGTGGAAGTGGCCCCCTGGGTCCTGCAGGCAGTCCCGGGTGTGTGCCGCGTGGCAAGCACCGGGCCGGCACTCGTTGATGTCGGCTTCGCAGTGCAGACCGGTGTAGCCTGGGGGACAGCTACAGCGGAAGCCGCCCACCAGATCCACACAGGTTCCATTGTGCAGGCACCGGGGCCCGGCGGCGTCAGAGGGAGGGCCCGGGCCACAGTCGTCCTCATCAATCTCACAGAGCACGCCTGAGGGCAGGCAGGAGGGGAGCTGGAGTTAAGGCACGGCATGGCGGGGGAGGGCGGGAGGAGGGTGGGAGGGGGGCCATACCCAGAGTGCCAGGCGGGCAGGAGCAGAGATAACGGGCCACCAGGTCTATGCACGAGCCGCCGTGCTGGCAAGGCTGGGAGGCACACTCGTCCACATCGTCCTGGCATTTGTCACCAGTGTAGCCAGCTGGACACTGCAAGGAGGACAAGAGGGAGGGGATGCTCTCAGCTCTGAGAAACCCAGACATGCCCAGACCCAGCAGGACAATACAGAGAAACCCAATGCAAAGGACACACGCGCGCACGCACACACAGGCATGCAAATGCCCCCAAGGCTCGAAACACCCAGAGCTGCAGAAGCCAAGGCAGAGACAAAGTCACACCTCCAGCCCCGCCCCTTACCTCACACACATAGCCGCCCATGTAGCCGCGGCAGGTGGCCCCGTGCTGACACGGCTGGGCCCCGCAGGGGTCCACCTCCTGCTCACAGTGACTGCCTGTGCGGCCCTCGGGGCACAGGCAGAAGTGTGAGTTGTCCTCGCTCACACACTGCCCGCCCCCCTGGCACAGCTGATCCAAGGGCACCCCTGGGAAGAAGAAGAGTGGCGTTGGGCACAGTGGGGTGGCTCCCCCTGCAGGCGCAGTCCCCAGGGGCTCCTCCGACACACCCCAGAGTGGCCACCCCCTATTCCCACAGCTGGTCCACAGCTGTGCCTCCAATGATCCTGGTGACATGGGCACCCTCCACCCCCCCACTACACCCACCTGCTCTGCGCACCTTCCTTGGACCCACACCTACAGGAGATCTGGGCCCACACCTGACCCCGTGCCCCCTCCTCACCCATCTGGGCTGCAGCCTCTTTGCAAGGTAGACTTCGCACATCACAGAAGCGGCCACTCCACCCAGGCGGACAAAGGCAATAAGCTCCAGTCTGGACACAGCGACCCTCATTCTGACACAGCCCATGGCTGCACCAATCCACTGGAGTCTGGAGGAGGAAAGGGTTTCAGCGTCAGGGCTGGGGGCAGGGGTGGAGGAGGGGAGACCTGGAAACCGTGCCCAGGGCCTCCCCCTCCTCCCCTTCCCCGCACCAAGAACACCCTCCAGACCCCTCCCCTGACCCTGGCCCCGCCCACCTGGCACTGGCTACCCGTGAAGCCCTCTGGACAGGTGCAGCGGAAGCTGGGGTGGGCGGCGCTGCACACACCCCCGTGCAGGCAGGGCCGCGAGAGGCAGGGGTCGGCCTCATGTTGGCAGTGGGCACCAGTGTAGCCCGGGCGGCACAGACAGCTGAAAGAGTTCACGCCATCCACGCAGGTGCCACCGTTGAAACAGGAGCTGGCAGGTGAAGAGGGAGGGGGGTCAAGCTCCGCCACACCCCTTGCAGGGCACGCCCTTCCTCGGAGGTCCCGTATTTCAGAGCTAAGGAGGGATCGCCGAGCCTCCGCCATCACACATCCCCCAGCCCTCCATCCCAGGTGCAGGCCACGCTCCCCCACACACCTGGGGCTGCAGTCAGGCAGATCCTTCTCGCAATGCAAGCCTCCATAGCCCGGTGGGCAGGTGCAAGTGAAGGAAGCCACGTGGTCAGTGCAGGTGCCTGGGCCACAAGGGCTGCTCAGACACTCGTCCACGTCCCGGGCACAGTGTGGACCGGTGAACCCAGGCAGGCAGGAGCAGGAGAAAGAGCCCGTGCCATCCTGACAGGAGCCGCCATTCAGACAGGGGTCTGGGGTGAGATGGGAGAGAGGGTCTAATCTCTTGCCTGGTTCCCCCAGCAGCCCAGTCTGACCCTCCCCTTGGCCCCATTATGTCAGTTCAAGTGGGAGCAGGCACAGTGGGTCAGGGAGCATATTCTACTCCGCTCTGTGGTCTCAGCCCTTCCATGATCCAGAAACCTCAGTAATGTGGAAGCGGAGGTTATTGGGAGAACCAAAATGTCCCCACTTCCTTCCCATCCAGCTCTCGGCTAATGCACCTGGGAAGGCAGTGGAAGATGTCTCAAGTGCTTGGGTCCTTGCACCCATGAGGGAGACCTAGAGGAAGCTCCTGGCTCCTGGCTTCAGCCTGGCCCAGCCCTGGCTGTTGCAGTCATTTGAGGGGGTAAACAAGCGAATGAAAGATCTCCCTCTCTCTCTCTCTCCCTCCCTCCTTCTCTCTCTGTGTCTTTGCCTTTTAAATAAGTTTTTAAAATATTAAATTTTTTTTTCAACACACTGTGCCAAGCATATAACACAGGCTGGATAGATATGCCTGCTAAGAAGCACCACACACACACACACACACACACACACAGCTCCAGGACACTCACTGGGGTCACAGTCATTGATGTCCTGGTCACAGGAAGGGCCAGTGTACCCCCCATGGCAGGTACAACTGAAACTCCCCATCAGGTTGGTGCAGGTACCGTGGGGGCCACAGGGTGAGGGACCACCAGCACACTCGTCCACATCCTGTTGGCATCGTGGGCCTGCAGTGGAGACCAAGGTAACACCTAGGGTTAGGAGGGTGCAGGGCAGGGTCTGAGGGTACCCGGGGCTCAGGGAGAATGCACAGGCTGAGAGAGGGAAAGGCGAAAACAAGCAGCTCTACGATCAGTAGAGGACTCCCTTGAGCCCAAGTCCCAGCATCCTCTTCCCCCAGTCATGAGCTCCGAGTGTGTGTGTCCAGCTCCACCCTCTATCAGAAGGAAGCTCCTTTCAAAGGCAGAGCTGGGATTCAGGCCCCCTTTCGGGCCCCAGGGTGCAAAGAGGTGAAGAAGAGGAAGAGGAGGAAGAGGAGGAGGAGGAAGCAGGTGTACCTTGCCAGCCAGCGGAGCAAGAACAGACAGGCATCTGTCCTGGGCCAGACTCACAGTGGCCACCGTGCTCACAGGGGTTCGGGGTGCAGGGGGACAGCAGCTCACATTGACGGCCTGTGTGGGGTAGGTGGAATGAAGTGGTCTTGAAGGGGGCTTCCCATTCCCAGCTGCCCCCACTCCAGCTCACACACACACACAGGGGTCCCCATCCTGACACCCATCCCCCAAGCTCCTGGGGAGAAAGAGAAAAGGCAAAACAGAGGCCAGTGTCCAGTGGAGAGGAACTGAGGGCTGTGGGTGCCTGAGGAGGGAAGAGAGACACAGACACACCCTGGACACCAGGCGGACAGGTGCAGCGGAAGCCCGATCCATCACTGGTGCAGGTGCCGCCGGCCCGGCAGGGCTGGGATTCGCAGGCGTCCCGATTCAGGCTCTGGCTGCACCGGGGACCACTCCAGCCAGGCTCACACACACAGCGGAACCTGGTAGGGTTGGAAGTCAGGGATAGCAGATGTACCAGAGAGGCAGTGGGGGAAGGGCGGGAAGGGAGGGGGACAGGGAGGCGAGATGGGACAGTCGGGCTCAGGGGTTGGGGAGGGGGCCTCACCCGCCAGGCGCATCATGGCAGATTCCGTGACTGCAGGGCTCATGGGCACAGGGGTGGGTCGGGGGGAGGCAGAGAGGGGGCAAGGAGCCAGGTGGGCAGAGGCATCGAAAGCCATTTTCTCCATCCACGCAAGAGCCTCCCTCGCCACAGGGGTTGGACGCACATTCGTTGATCTCCACGTTGCAAAGGGGCCCTAAGGAGGTAAGTCCAGGTGGCAGAGGCAATGGGGAAGGGACCACCTCACCCCCTACATGTGGCACAGCCCAGAATCAAGGCCAGCCTTGTTCTCGCAGGGGGAAAACAACCTCGGGTCAGTGAGAAAGAGCGCAGAATAGACCAAGAGAGGGGCCCAAGACCCAGGCCACAGAGGCAGGTGGACTGCACCTGCGCCCCTGCAAGGACTCCCTTTTCCCCGGCCAGCTCGTGCCTACCTGTGAAGCCAGGCTGGCAGACACAGTCATAGCGGTTGATGCCATCTCGGCAGACACCAAAGGTGCAGGGGTTGCTGGCACAATCATCTATGTTCACCTCACAGTTCAGACCTGGGGGAGGGACACGTGGTGAGGAGCAGGGTTTCCAACGGATGCATGGCTCCCGAAGCCCCTCCTCCGCCCCTCCAGGGGCAGCCCAGCCGCCAGCTCCCACCTGTGGTGCCAGGGGGACAGCGGCAGAGGTATTTGTCCACCAGGTCCAGGCACTTGCCCCCGTGGCGGCAGGGCTGGCTGCGGCACTCGTCCACCTGGCTCTCGCAGCGCGTGCCCGTGTAGCCCGGGGCGCAGGCGCAGGAGAAGCTGGCGATGCCATCAACGCAGCGCCCGTGGTGGCACGGGTCTGGAGAGCAGTCGTCCACGTTGCGTTCACACAGCGTGCCCTCGAAGCCTGAAAGGGGCGCTGAGGGTCAGGCTCCACACATCCGCGGAGGGCCCGCCCACAGATGGGGCCCCCGGCCCAGTCGGAGCTCAACTTTCCCTCAGGTCCCGCCCACTGAGCCATCAGGAGGCGTGCTCAAGGCAGGCCCCGCCCCTCATCTCCTCTCCGACGGCCTCCGAGCTCCAAGATTCTCTCTTGGCCCCGCCTTCAGCCCTGTTCTAACCCCGCCCTTAACTACAGCTGGGGGTGGGAGTGGGAGGTGCGCGCATAGGGAAGAAAGGATTGGACACACCCCCTCCAGCTACCAGCCAACCCTGTACCCAGCCAGACCCTGTGGCCCCACCCCTTGCCTCATCTCATCCCTTGTCCATCATTGGCTCCACCCCTAGCCGTCCTTGCACCTCCTGCTGCAGCCCCACCCCCAGGCTCTCCTCAAGTCTGTTATTGGTTCCTTCTGCTGCCAGCCCCGCCTCTCGGCAATAGTTGGGCTGTAATTGGCCCACGCTCACCCTCCGCGCAGTGGCACTCGTAGCCATCGGGCTGATCCACGCACTTGGCGCCATTGCGGCACGGCGTGCTGGCGCATTCGTCCACATCCAGCTGACACGTGGCCCCGCTGAAGCCTGCGTGGGGAGCGGGGTGAGCGTGACCCAGCCATCCCCTCTCGCCTGCCCTGCCTCACTCGCCTGAGCCCCATCTCCAGGACATGTGGTTGCTATTATGCGTTAGCCTGGGAGGGGTGGGCTGGGGTGGGGTCCTCACCTGAGGGGCAGGTGCAGCTGAAACCGTTGACTCGGTCTCTGCAGACGCCGCCGTTGACACACGGACTACTCTGACACTCATCAATGTCCACCTCGCAGAAGGTACCTGTGAAACCTAGGAGCCGGGAAAGAGTGGAAGGCGGTGGGGATGCTGCCTGGGCTGAGCGGGGTCGGGCTGGTGGCCTTGGCCTCGCTCTCAGTCCAATCTGACGTTCAGTCTTCAGCCACAGGTGGGACCCTCCTGGGACTCTAGGGGCGCCCTGCTGTCAAACCATCCCCAGCCTCAGAGCCCACCATAGCTTTAGGCCCATCTTCAAATCCCTCCCCGCCTTAAGCGCTAGACTGCAGGGTCCACGTCTCCCCAAAGTGAGCCCTAAGGCCCGGAGTCCACTCCTAGCCCCTCTGAGCTTCAACTGAGTCACTGACCAAGTCCCTGGCCTCACACTGGGTCCTGCCCTCACCACACAGCCCTACCCCCGGCCCCTCCTATCCCCGCCCTGGCCACGCCCACCACGCACCTGCCATGCAGATGCAGGTGAACTGGCCGATGCGGTCGAGGCACGTGGCCTGGTTACGGCAGGGTCCCGAGAGACACTCGTTGACATCGGTCTCGCAGCGTGGTCCCGTGTAACCGCGGCCACACTGGCACAGGAACGAGCCCTGCGTGTTCACGCAGCGGCCCAGGTGCTCGCACGGGTTGGCGCCTGGGGGAGGGGCACAGCAGGTGTGGGCGTGGCCAGCTGAGGCCCCCACCTCACCCCGTTTTCCCCAGCCGGTCCCAGCCCTCACCGATGGAGCACTCGTCCACGTCCTGGTCACAGGCCCCTCCCGTGAAACCGGGGGGACAGGTGCAGATGGCCCGGCCGTTCACGGGGTTGGTGTCACAGATGGCGTCCTCGTGACAAGGGTTGCTGACGCAGGCGTCATCCAGGTGACACAGAAGGCCTGGCAGGGGTACGCAGAAGTCAGAGGCAAACCTCAGCTCTGCCTGAGGTCCCTCAGCCCCTCGGATAGTTGTGTGTGTGTGTGTGTGTGTGTGTATTAATCTGCCGTGTATGGAATGGCTATTTTTTTTTTAACCTATTGCCAGCAGCTTCCCCTTCCAATGACTTTGCCCCAGATCCTCCTTCTAGGTTCACCCCTGACCCCAAATCCAGCTGCCAACCCACTCTTCCTAGATAAGCTATCTTTGCCTCACTCCAGAAGCTTCAACAGCGACCCCTGACTGGGTACCAGGAAAAGGGCCACTTACCAGTCTTGCCCATGGGGCAGGCACAGTAGAAGGAGGCCACACGGTCGTGACAGGTGGCCCCGTGAAAGCACACGGCCGTGGCGCAGTCATCAATGTTCTGACTGCAGCTCTCGCCCGTCCAGCCGTTGACACACACACAGCTGTGGCCCCCCAAGGTGTTGAAACAGGTGCCCCCATTGTGGCAAGCATTGGGCTGCAGCTGGCACTCGTCCACGTCCTCTGTGCAAAATTGCCCTGAGGGCACAGACACCAGTCTGCTCCAGCCACCTGACCTGACAGCCCAGCTCCGCCCCCCCTTCCCTGCCTCCTTCTCCCACCGAGCCCCAGCACCCACCTGTCCACTCAGGAGGGCATTGACAATTGTAGGTGTTAACACCATCCACGCATGTTCCCCCGTTGAGACACCGGTGTCCCGGGCAGTCATCCACATTCACTTCACAGTTCTGGCCCTCGAACCCTAAACCCAGGATAGGTGGCAGGGGACAAGGCTGGTGACAAACAAGCAGGTCTGGGGTCCCCACCACCACCACCACAGTGCCTACCCCGGCTGCCTCCCCCAGAACACAGCTTGCTCACCAGGGAGACAGGCGCAGTCATAAGTAAGATCGCCACTCTGCCGACAGGTGCCTCCATTGCGGCACGGCGACGGGGCACAGGGCACTGCGGGGATCTCACACAGCAGCCCCGTGTAGCCACCAGGGCACTGGCAGCGGAAGGAACCCGGTGTGTTGAGGCAGGTGCCCCCGTGGCGGCATGGCCCGCCCACCCGACACTCATCCACGTCGCTTCGGCAGCTGCGACCCTGGTAGCCCGGCGGGCAGGAGCACACAAAGCGCCCGTCGGACCCCACGGAGCAGCGGGCACCATGGGCACAGGGGCTGCTGAGGCAGGGGTCCGGCAGGGAGCAGTCCGGGCCTGGAGGAGACCCCGGGGAAGAGAGTGAGTTTGCGACTGACCACACCCCAGCCTGCCATGCTCCGCCCCTCCACCCCTCCCCGTCTCACCTCGGAACCCACGGGGGCACCGGCAGGAGAATCTGGCAACGCCAGCCACCACGGAGCTCTGGCAGACCCCACGCCCAGCACAGGGGCCCGAGTGGCAGGGGTCTTCCAGCTGGCACCGCTCACCCACCCAGCCTGGTGGGCACCTGTGGGCAGAGGTGATGAATGGGCTGATGGGGCAGCACGAAGAGACAGACAACAGACATGCTGGGAACACACAGGCAGACGGGCCAGCACACACACTGGGCCACTCACGCCATACGTGTTAACTAAGCAGCTACCACATGCTACCGCAACAGGAAGACAACGACCAACACAAGGGGTCCTTACCCTCCCGATCCTCACAGCCAGCTCAGGCAAAGAGAACACACACAAATAACAAGTTAATATACAACATGCCAGCAGGAGGGGAAAAGATCCACGAGGGGTGGGGCCAGAACCCCGTATGGGCAACGGTTAGAGTCCCAGCTGCTCTACTTCCAATCCAGCTCTCTGCTATGGCCTGAGAAAGCAGCGAAAAATAGCCCAAGTGGTTGGGTCCCTGCACCCATGTGGGAGACCCGGAAGAAGCTCCTGGCTCCTGGCTTTGGATTGGCTCATTGTGGCCATCTGGGGAGTGACCCAAGAGATGGAAGACCTCTCTCTCTCTCTTTCTCTCTCTCTCTCTCTCTTTCTCTCTCTGCCTCTGCCTTTCAAATAAATAAATAAATCTGTTTTAAAAACCAGTTTTTGCAGACAGAATTAATTGAAGGATATCCAGATGTTACCATCCCAGCTTATCTAGGAGGGTTCTAAATGCAATGACAGATGTCCTTTATAAGGGAGAGAGAAAAGAGAGAAGGCCACATGGAGACAGAAGCAGGGGATGGAGTGAGGCAGCCATTAGTCAAGGAGTGTTTGGAGCTGCTGGAAGTTGGAGGAGGCAATGAAGTTTGCCTCTTGGGGCAGGGGGATGGAGGGGAGCACCTTAACCTGACTTGCAGCCTCCCAAACTGAGAGAGGTTCTATTCCTGTGGTTTCAAGCCAGCCTGTTGGTGGGGACTTGGTATAGGAGCCACAGCGGGGTGTGTGAGGAGTGGAGATACACAGGGTAAGGACAATCGAATGATACAAAGAGAGGCCGTGAGTATGCCACAGATTGAGGGAGGTACAGGGAAGGGCGTTCCAGAAAGAGGGAACAGCAAGCAGTGGGAAAAGTAGTCTCAACTCCAGGAGACACCCAGGGAACACCCAGACGGGCAGAGAAACCAGAAACCAACAAAAGGAGGGCCAGCTGGACGCCTGGGCTTGGCGAGCGGCGCAGCCTCCCACGCAGATGCGGGCCACTGTCCCTCAGCCGCAGCCTGCACCCCTGGCCCCGGGGCCTCTGCGCACACCCAGGCGTGGGGGCTGAGGTTTGGAGCAGGCACCAAGGTTGGTGCCCTCTTGTGTGTCTGTGTGTGTGTGCGGGGGGGGGGGCGGTCTTTCAGCCCGCAGTGCTCTTCCCCAACCCCCACCCCCACCCCCACGGCAGGGAAATGCAAACTGGCACGAAGCTGGTTTTAAGACGAAACCTCCGCGGGGCACAGGGGCGGGGAGTCAGCCGCCAAAGGGTCCAAGCCCCGCCCCCGATGAGGTCAGCACCCACCCCTCGCTCCCGTACCCCCCCTCTCCCGGCTTGCTCCAGACGCCAGGGACTCAACTCGGAGCAGCTGACTCAGTCCTTAGAGTCACCCACAAGGTCCCCCACCCCACCCCACCCCCGCCACCTAGGTCTCCAGCGGAGCAAGTCGGGGCACGGCAGGCAGGGCGCAGCTCCCAGCCCCCCTCCCCAAAAAGCCCCAAAGGGAGTGTGAGCACGGCGGTCACGATCGCGCGCCGGGAGGGGGCGCCGCGGAGCGAAGGGTCCCGGAGCCAGGCAGGGCGCGGCCCGGGCGGCCCCTCCCGGCGCCCCGGGCGGGTTCCCACGCTCCGCGCCCCGCGCCCCCGCCGACCGGTCGGGCCGGTTCCAGCCCCAGCCCGCGCCCCGCCCCACGGCCCGAGCTTTGGGGGAGATGGAGACGGGGGAGGAGGTGGGGTGTGTGTGTGTGTGTGTGTGCGCGGGCGGACTTGCGGGGGAGGAAGGCCAAAGGAAATGGGGACCAGTGCTGGGGAGCCTATTTTTTTGGGGGGTCGTTCGAGACTTGGGCGGATCCCCGATGGGAGGCACCCTTTGGAGCATCTCAGAAAAACCTAGGGGTAGCAGAGACATGGAAGGAGATTCGGAGGTTGAGGAGGTAGCGGGGAGGGGGGACCTGTAGGGAAGGGGGACCTGTAGGGAGTGGTTCCCACAACCCAGCTCTGGAGACTGAGCCCGCTCCACTCCCGGGGATCCGGGCTCCGGGCGGCAGTGCGCGCCGGTGATTCACCTGTCGAGGGGGCGGGGCAGCCGCGGGCGCATTCACCTGTCGGCTGGCTTCCAGGCGTGGACTTCCACTGCGCAAGCGCCCGGACCACAGCGTCTCAGCCTCCCCCAGAGTGGCTCCGAGTGAAGCCCCAGCCCTACCCCATCGCAGAGCCGCCCCCCCCCACACACATCCCCAGCCACAAACCCTGAGGAAAAGCTGCCATTTCGCAGTTGGTGCGGTTCAGAGAGGAATTGACTCCATCACCCTACGTCACAGGGAACCCTACTGTAGCAATGTCTAAATGTGAACACTGAGGGGATGTGTGAGGGTGTCCTCCACATTGCCCTTGGTCCCTGGATATAGTTAAACTGAGTAATACCTGCCTCCAACACACAGGGCTTCGGGAGGCTGTGTAAAACGCTGGCCTAACTGGACCCATTTCCTGGATGAGAACACTGAACTGTGCTAAGCCTTTAATTCCTAGCTCCCACCCCTCCCTCCCCGCCCCCACCATGACGCAGGACTTGAATCCCGGCCAGGCCACACTCCGGAGCCCCTGCTGGCATTCCCGATGGGAGAAACATGAGACTACCCCAAGCCACACACATGTAAGGAAGTGGTGGAGGCGTCGTGGTGGACACAGGGCATATGAAGACAAACCACCTCCCCACGCAGGGCCCGCGGATGGCACAGAGCCAGGCACTCACAGGCAGGCAGCCTCCCGGGAGGGCAGCTGGGTGCACCGACCTCCATTTGCACAAGGGCTTCCGTCCAGGCAAGGGGGGGCTGCAGGAGGGGAGAGGCGAAGGAAGGGGGGAGAGGTGGGGGTCAGCAGGGTGCCCAGGACCCCTCCCCTACACCCAGCAGCAGACCCCCTCCATCCCTCCACCAGGCAACAGCTGCAATGGGCTGGGGGTGTCCCTGTGGGTGTAGGAAGGCCCCCCATCCAAGGTTCCCACGGCCCCCCGCCACAGCCCCAGCTGTTGGGGCAGCAGCTGTCTTTGCCAGCTCCAGCCCTGGGAACCACAAGGCAGGGGTAGGCAGGCAGGAGGAGGGGCTGACTTGTGCCAGATGTGGGGGCTCAGGAAGCTGCCAGAATTTAGGATGTACAGGAACGGAACAGGAAGTGCGGGTGGCACTGTGGCTACAAGCCCCGGCAGGGGGAAAGGGGGAGGGGACGCAGACCACAGCAGAGGGACCACGGCAGGCAGCCACGTGTGGGTTCAGACACTCCACAGCAGGCAATATTAGGAGCTGCCCTGTCCAGCATCCCCCAGCCCCTAAACCTGTGTCCCTGTAGGGTGTGGCCTAGTTTAACTGTCCTGCCAGACAGGTCAAGGGTGTGGCGCGTGTGTGCGTGGACCTGGCCATGTGTGTGTGTGTCTGTGCATGTGTCTGCGTGTGCGTGTCTGCATGTGTGCATCTGCATGTGCGTGCATGTGTGTGTGTGTGCACATGTGTGTCCAAGCGAGAGCTGGAAAGCCAGAGGAACTGGGAACAAATATCAGACATCAGAGAAGAAACCAGACCAGGTAGACAAAGAGAACGATCGAGAATGGATCAAATAGCCCGTGTCCACTTCCTCTTGGGACAAACTGGCTGGACACGGAACTCACACTGCAGGCTGCAAGACTTCCTGTGCATGGGCTCCTTGGTCAGCCTGTGTGTGGACATGGACGTGCATTTGTCCTATCCTTGCGCAGAAACATGGGAGTCAGCTCATGTGTGTCCACGTTGGGGGGGTGTACACGTGTGTGCAAATGACATCTGCCCAGGCAAGCAGCTTCCGAGTGGTGTGTGTGTGTGTGTGTGTGTGTGTGTGAAACATGGATCGGGCATACAGCTGTGTGTGCATGCGTGAATGCACTGGTTGTGCCCGTTCTATACCAGGCAGCTGGTTGTGGGTCCATCCTTGAACCTATGCCTGGATGTGTCTGAGTGTGAGCAGGCCAGGTGCATGGACACGTGGGAGCCCCGTGGTCTGGGTGTCTCAGGGACCAGCTCCTAATGCTGGATCTGCTGCGTGCGTGCACGTTTGCATCGCAGTGTGTGTGTGTGTGTGTGTGTGTGTGTGTGTCCCAGAGCTGTGTGACAGGCCATGTGTGTGCTTAGTCCTGCGGGGGCAGCTGCTCCTGCCCGGTCCTGCCCCGTTGGGCCCTGGGGCTGGGAAAGGAACTCCAATTCTTCCCCAAAACCCCGACCCGGGGGAGCACCCACCCCACAGCAGCGCCCCCAGACCCCCTCGGCCCACGGCCCTCCCCCGTCGACCAGGCCTCCCGTGACAGGGGGCGCCCCCGCTGCCGCTGCTCGGCCCGGCCGCGGGTCCCGCTTTGTCTGGCAAAGAAAGCGCGAGGCCGGCCGAGGGGGAGGGGGTGTCTAGACGGCGCGGCCATTGTCCCGAGCAGGGGGAGGGGAGAGAGCAGGGGAGGAGGAGGAGGAGGAGGAGGAGGAGGGGCCGGGGCCCCCGGCCCGGCTGGGGAGGGGGCGCCAGAGCCAGAGCTGAGCACGTGGACTCGCGCCCCTTCCCCTCCCCGCGCAGGGGCGGGGTCCCGGGGCTGCCGACTCCCCACGGCCAGAGGCAGCAGCCGGGCTCCGCGAGCGCGCGCGCGCACACACACACGCACCAGCGCGCGGGGAGGGGGCGCAGGAGCCGCTGGGGGCTCCAGCTCCCGATCCGGCTCCGGGTCTTGCGGCGCTCCGGCCTGGGAAGTTTTTCCCGAGTTTCGGGCTCTGAGAACTTCGCGCCCCCCTCCCAGCCCCCCGCCCCCCCGCCCGGCCCTGGCCGCCCCGGGATGTCTGCTGGGGTGGTGGCGGCGGGGGCTGGGGTGAGGAAGGACCAGTGCTTTTGTGCGAGGGGTCCCCGGCCGAGCCCATCCAAACCTCCCCCCAAGACTTCGGTCGGGCGTGGGATGGGGGCGACCCCGGCTCCTGGGTCTACCCGACCAGTCTCGGACTCCTGGGCCCCCTGATCTCCTGCCCCGACCGCTCCAGGGTCCCCGTTCCTTAGGCCTCTGGGACCCTGGTGCTCCCATTCCGAGTCGCTGCGCCCCCCGGGACTGGCATGCGCTCCCCTGGCTCGCGCACCTCTGCCCCAGCCTTGGAGCCCACGACCCCCCCCCCCCCACCTCCCACCCCACCACCACCACCACCCTTGACTTAGCGGGGAGGGGTTCTATACTCCCCACCCCCGCCCCGATCCCGCCGGCCCCCTCACCTGCAGCCCCCGGCCCCGCTAGCAGCAGCAGCAGCAGGGGCAGCGCCCGCACGGGCGGCGGTGGCGGTGGCGGGGACGTCGGGCGGCGGCGGCGCCGGCGGCGGCGGCCGCCCCGGGCCCCCGGCCCCATGGCTGCCGGCCGCGACCCTCCCTCCTCCCTCCTCCCTCCTTCCCCGGGCCGCGGGCGCGTCCCGGGCCAGCCTCCGCGCCGCCAACTTCGCCGAAGTGAGGCTGCCCGGCCGCCCCGCCCCCAGCCCTCGGCGGCTCGCCCCGCCCCGGGGCCGGCCCTGCGCGCCCCCGCCCCGCCTGGTTCCCGGGGGGCGGATTGAAGTGGCGAGGGGGGTCTCTGCCCATCGTGCACCCGCGCGAGCCCGTGACTGCAGACCCTCCGAAACACGAGCCGGCCTGGCGGTGAGCTGTGGGCCCACCCCTCACTGCGCTTATGCCCCCCTCCCCCACACACCGGTGCTTGCCAGAGCCCGGGATGCGGGGGTGGAGGAGACGGAGACACCCACAGACCCTGGACCCTAAGACCAGGCTGGTGTCTTGAACGCACAGCCACGGGCACAGCGAGGCGAACGCGTGCACGGAGTTCCCTCGAGACTCTCAGCTCCCAAACCCAACTCTGAAAAGGACGCCCAGCCCTCACGCACGCTCCCCTGCATTCCGTGCGAGTGCACACACACGCACACACACACGCACACCCCTCCCAAGCAACCCCCTCCCCTCCCCCAACCTCAGAGGTCCAGCCTGGTCCCCCATACCCCACGCAGCTTTGTCGCTGGATTCAACACCCAAGACCAGCCCCGCAGCCCGCTCTGCCTCAGTGGCAAGAATGGGGTCCTTAGGAAAGCCCCCCTCCAAGCCCAGCCTGGGAAAGAAGAGCCAGGTACAGACTCCCCCCACCCCACCCCCAGCCACGCGGCGAGCGCCCGCCCCCGCCCAGCGCTGAGCATGCAGGGCAGGGAGAGCCCCAGGCACCTGCCCGGCTAGGGCAGGGCACACCCAGCGCTGGAGGATGCTTTACTTGGGAAGAAATTTATTTGTTGGTGCATGTATCCAACAAGCATGGATGAAGCTGCCACTCAGTTCTAGGGGACTGTGGGTGCCAGGGGTCCCAGCAGAGGAAGGAGCAGAGTCCTTGGCCAAGGGGCAGGCTAGGAGTCAGGAGGAGAAAAGAGAGAGGCCAAGTTGACCCCAGAGGAGTCTGGTCTGGTGATGGGGCTGATAAGAGCCAGGACTGGGTTGGCTGAGGCTCAGAGGTGAGGAGCCAGAGGAGCAGAGACAAAGAAACTCAAAGCCGGGGCTGAAATGTGTCAGAGCTGCTCAGATGGGAGAGAATCATGTGGACCTCCAGAAAATAACTTCTTTTTTTTTTTTTTAAGATTAATTTTTTTGCTTATTTGAAAGGCAGAGTGATTAGAGAGAGAGAGAGAGAGAGAGAGAGAGAAACTTCCATCCGCTGATTCACTCCCCAGATGGCTGCAAGAGCCAAGGCTGGGCCAGGCAAAGCCAGGAGCCAGGAGCTCCATCCGGGTCTCCCAACATGGGTGGCAGGGGCCCAAGCAGTTGGGCCATCACTGCTGCTTTCCCAGGTGCATTAGCAGGGAGCTGGATCAGAAGTGGAGCAGCCAGGACTCGAACCAGCACCCATATTGGATGCCGGCAGCATCACAGATGGAGGCTTAACCTACTACACCACAGAGCCAGCCCCATACTTCTTATTTTGAAATAATGTTCCACACAGAAGTACGGCTTCTGGGGTAGGCATTTGACATAGCAGTGAAGGTGCTACTCGGACACCCGCATCTTGGGTTCTAGTTCCACCTCCACTTCTGATTCCAACTTCCTGCTTTTGATCACCCCGGGAGGCTGCAGGTGATAGCCCAAGTCCTTGAGTCCCTGCCACCCATGTGGGAGACCTAGCTGTTTCCGGCATCTGGGGAGTGACCCAGTGAATGGGGGTTCTTTCTCTCGCTCTCTGCCTTTCAAATAAATGAAAATAAAATCAATTTCAGGAGCTGGCATTGTGGTGAAGCAAGTAAAGCTGCCACCTGCAGTGCCAGCATCCCATATGGGCACTGGTTCAAGTCCCGGCTGCTCCACTTCTGATCCAGCTCTCTGCTATGGCCTGGGAAAGCAGTGGAAGATGGCCCAACTACTTGGGCCCCTGCACCTGTGTGGGAGACCCAGAGGAAACTCCTGGCTCCTGGCTTCAGATTGGCACAACTCTGGCCATTGCAGCCATTTGGGGAGTGAACCAGTGGATGAAAGATCTCTCTCTCCCTCTCTCTTTCTCTCTCTGCTTCCTTTCAAATAAACACTCTGTATTTTTTAAAGAAAATCTTTCATTTAAAATAAAAAAGCAAATAAAATGGAAATACAATTATCATAAGCCTTTTCCCAATTTATTCCCATTTTGTGACATTTGCCTTATTTTGCATATATATATGTGTATATGTATATATGCACACTTTTTGGCGAGCCACTGGAATGGAGATTGCAGATGTGATGTTCCTTTGCCCCAGATACTTGATGGTGTGTTTCCTAACCCAGAGAGCCTGGCATTCTCCTAGAGACACATACTGGAGCTTCCATCCCACAGTCCATATTCAAACCGGTTGTCCCAGTGATATCCTGTACAGTGTGTTTCTTTGCATCCTCATATCTCTTGGCCTCCTGCAGCTGAATCCATCCTTCTGTCTTTTTTTTTTTTTTTAAGATTTATTTATTTGAAACACAGAGTTACAGAGAGAGAGGCAGAGAGACAGAGATCTTCCATCAGCTGCTTTATTCCCCAAATGGCCACATGACCAAAGCTGAGCCCACCCAAAGCCAGGAACCAGAAGCTTCTGCCAGGTCTCTCATGCGGGTGCAGGGGCCCAAGCACCTGGACCATCTTCCACTGCTTTCCCAGGTGCATTAGCAGAGAGCTGGATTAGAAGTGGAGGACCCAGGACTCAAACTGTACCCACATGGGATGACACTGCTGCAAGCCAGGGTTTTAACCTGCTGCACCACTGCGCTGCTGCGCCACAGTGCTGGCCACCTTCTTCAGCCTTTCTTTGTCTTCCATGACATTGAAGTGTTAGGAAACTCAAGATCCTGCAACACTGGACCTGCTAACTCCTCATGGTCAAGTTCATGCTGTCCAGCTTTGCAGGAGGCACAGGTGCTCCCAGGTGCCCAACATTGTCTGTGCTCGACTTTGATGGAATCCGGTTCGAGTCCCAGCTGTTCCACTTCCCATCCAGCTCCCTGCTAAATATGCCTGGGTAAACTGCAGAAGATGACCCAAGCACTGTGTACATGGGAGACCAGGACGGAGTTCCTGGCTTCGGCCTGGCTTTTACCCTGGTTCATTCCCCCAAATGATTGCAACAGCCAGGTCTGAGAGAAACTGAAGCCAGGAGCCCAGAATTCCATCTTTGTCTCCCACGTGGGTGGCAGGGACCCACCCAAGTACACGGGCCACCATCTGCTGACTTTCCCAGGTGCATTAGCAGGGAGCTAGATGGGAAGCAGAGCAGCCAGGACTCAAACCTGCTCGCTGATGTGGGATGTGGGGCCATCTGCAGAGTCGCCACAATGCCTGGTTCCAGTGTATTCCCCTTAAAGCACACGATTCAGTGCCAGTGTGACATTCCCACATCATCATTTCGATCTAATTCTGAAACATTCTGACGCTTCCCCCCACTCCGCCTCCCCAACCCAGTGAAATTCTGCCCCCATCAGCTTCCCCTCTTCCCACAGTCCCTGGGGATCACTGCTCTACTTCCTGTTCCTGTGCATTTGCCTGGCCTGGATGTCTCCTATCCGTGGAGTCACACACTGTCTGGCTTCTCTTTGCTCAGCTCAGCATCCTAACTTTTGAGCTGTAACCGCACTGCAGCGGGGGTCAGTGCCTTGGATCTCCTTTTTTCTTTTTCTTCAAAGATTTATTTCATTTGAGGGGCAGAGTTAGAGAGAGAGAGAGAGAGAGAGAGAGGTCTTTCATCTGCTGGTTCATTCTCCAAGTGGCCACAACAGCCAGAGTTGAGCGGATCCAGAGCCAGGAACCAGGAGCCTCTTCTGGGTCTCCCACGTGGGTGCAGGGGCCCATGCACTTGGGCCACCTTCCACTGCTTTCCCAGGTGCATTAGCAGGGAGCTGGATCAGAAGTGGAGCAGCTGGGGCTCGAACCCTTGCCTTTATGGGATGCTGGCGTTGCAGGTGGTATGCCGCAATGCTGGCACCTCCCTGGGTGAAAGCTGAAAGAGAGGATAAAGGAGCAGAGAGGAGTGTCTGAGAGAAAGAACAAAGACGCAGAGCTAAGGGTGTAAGTTGCAGACGGGACAGAGGCTGGCCCAAGGCTGGCAGGAGCAATGGAGGCTCCATCTCACCTGGGATGTTCCCAGCCTGGCCCCCTCCACCACCTCTTATCAGAGAGAGGAGAGATCTGCCCACCTCACAGATGTGGCCGCATCACCTAGGGACCAGTGATGACTTGCTAGAGGCCGAGTGGGATTTGAACCCAGATCTGAGAGGCTACAGGTCTCCTGCAAAAGCCCAGCAATGGGGGAGGGGAAAGGGAAGGGAAGGGAAGGAAAGATGGGAGAGGGGTTGGGCAGAGAAAAAGTTGCGTAAGAAGGGGGCACCTGCTGAGTCACAGTGAGCTGTGCTGAGTCAGCATGCCCCTGGGGGCATGCACAGCTCAGGCCCCTCCCGCATCTCCACCCCCTAGAAATCAAACCTCCCCCCCTCCCAGACCAGCTTGGGCTGTGCCCAGGCTCTTGTCTCTGCCTGGGACACCCAGCTGGGCAGAAGGACGCTCGGCTTCTCCCCCATACAGGAACTCACAGCCAACGTGCTGTCTCTGAAGCGTGCTTCCTTGTGCCTGCTCTGCAAGTTCCCACGCTCACTGCGCCTCTGCCCGTGCTGGTCCTGTCTCCTAGCTTTGCCTTTTCTGTCCCTGTTCTTCGACCAGGTGACTTCCTGTTCTTTCCTCAGGGGTCCCTGGGGAGTCCCCACTTTATTTTTTTGAAAGGCAGAGCAGAGACAGAGAGCGAGATAATCCAGGCACTGGTTCACTCTCTGAATGCCTACACCAGCCAGGGTTGGGCTAGCTAGACTGAAGGCAGGAGCCAGGAGCTCCATCTGGGTCCCAAGTTCTTGATCTATTGTTTCCCAGGTGCAATAGAGGGAGCTGGATCAGAAGTGGAGCAGCCGGAACTGGAACCAGCACCCATGTGGGAAGCTGGCACCACAGGCAGTGGCTTTACCTGCTACACCACAGTGCCAGCTTGTTGATGAGGGGTTGGAGGTGTCTGCCTCCTGTCCTGTCTTCCACCAATATGAGGAGCTCCTCGGAGACAAGGCAGAAAGTGAGGCTTCCGGAGGGTCCCCGCATCCGGCAGCATGATTGGGCAGACAGGGTGACCTGGGACAGTTTGAGGCATCTCAGAGTGGCCAGAGGATGGGGTCCTCCCAGCCCAGAAAAGCCACCATTGGGGGCCCGAGACATTCTCTTTAGTACCATGTCGGGGGTAGGTGGGAGGTGTCTGGGAGCTCTGAACAGGGTTTGGGGGTCCAGAGGCAGAGCTAGGGTCCTTGTGGGGAGGCAGGGGTAGGGAAGGCTGACTCCTCCCCTGAGTCTTCTGAGCAAAGATCTTTCTCCCAGACCTCTGCAAGGTACTGAGCTTCCCATCGCAAGCAGCAACCAAGGGATGCAGACATACTTTTCACTAAGCAGGAAGTGGTGACTCTGGGGCAGCAGGGGCCGGCCATAGGGGCAGAGCAGAAATGGGGGACAGTATAGGGGAGTTGGGGTCTAAAGGGAGGAAAAAGCTACAGAGCCCCACCCCCCACCCAGCAGGAGCGGAGGGTCCAGCTCCAGTAGCAGACCTCGCCCAAGGTGTCCAGGTCCCTCGGGGATAGGACAGGCAGAGCCACCATTCCCACGGCCCCACAGCCCGTGGCCTCAGCCCCCTCCCCTTGGCCCTGCTTGGCTGCCTTGGCTGGGGCCTGCATTTCTCCTGCATGAGCTCAGGCCCTGGGGACGCGGGACCTGGGGCCAGGCCAAGACACAGCTGTGCCGGCACGGCGCTGCATGCTGACCAGGAACCTGAGAACTTGCCCTGGGCCGCGCTCCTCCTGGGGACTGTAATCCCGCCCGCCCTCTGCGCCAGGGAAGCTGTGACCCAGCAGACCGGATCCTTGTGCTCTGCCCCTGAACCAGCAGGGGGCAGGGGTAAGGGCGGGAGGGGTGGGGGTGGGAGGAGACACTGCCTCCCTGGGATGCTCTGGTGCTCCAACATCCCATAGCTCCCTGCTGCCCGGAGTGGCTCAGCCTCTCCCTAGCTCTCCCCAGCATCACCTCCCTGTCCCTCCATCTTCTCGCTTCCCTAAAGGTTCATGTTCGCTCACTCATTCAACAAACATTGATGGAGGTCCTACTTGGTGTCAGCTCCTGTTGGAGATGCAGGTGGCCCAAGGGACTAGCCTGCCAGTTCCTGCCCTGCTAGAGGAGAAAGATAAGAAATAAGCGAACACTTGAAGCAGTGGAGGGGAAGTTATAACCCAAGATCTGAAAGACAGGAGCTTGGCGAGTTATACAGTGTGGGGGAAGCGTGTTCCATGCAGAAGGGACAGCCAATGCAAAGGCTCAGAGGAGAAATGGGCAGGTGGTTGAAAGAAGAGCAAAGAGGTCAGGGTGTGGGGTGCAGACTGAGCTGGGTGGGTGGGGGACAGGAGGCCAGGGCAGCTTGTGGGAGCTAAGTCCCAAAGGGGGTTCCAGGGTCTGGGATTGTAGCCCAGGCACCGTGGAAGCCACCAGCAGAGGAAGCTGATCGGATTCCGTTTGTAAATGAGCTCCGCCTTGTCCTCTCCCAGGGAGCCCTCTAGGAGGAAGCTTTGCCCGCCTCCTCTGCCTCCTCTGCGCTCCCACGGCCTCCTCCATGGCGAGGCTCTGACCCCTCCGTGTGATCCTGCCTGCCCCCTGCCCCCACTCCCCAGCCGCCTCCGGAGCCCTGTAGGCATCCGTCTGGCTCATAGCTGATCTTCCGAGATGTCTCACAGAGGAGCTGGTGCCTGGGAGGTGAAATAATTGTCCCTTGAATGAATGAATCAGGAGCTGGGACCTGAATGCGTGCGTCCGGGGCTGGGCACAGGGAGCCCTGAGCCCCAGCAGGGAGTGGCTGGGTCCCAGGAATTAGGGGAGGGCTGGTGGGATTTCCCCAGGGACGGGAGAGCTAAATGGGGAAGAAAAAGCTGAAGGGATGGAAACTCACTTGTCTTAAAAATACTTTTATTTATTTACTTACATTTCTTTGAAAGGCAGAAAGGGACAGATACACACACAGAGAATCCTTGCATGGCTGGTTCACTCCCCTAAATGGCTGCTGGGTCAGGCTGAAGCCAGGAGCCAGGAACTCAGTTTGGGGTAGCAGGGGCCCAAGTACAAGGACCATCTTCTATTGCCTCTCCCAGGCACATTAGCAAGAAGCCAGACAGGAAGCGGAGCAGCCGAGCCTCCAGCCGGGTGCTACAACACGGGATACCTGCGTGGCAGGTGGCAGCTTAACCCAGCGCACCATAGCACCGACGCCTCCTCGCCACCCCCCCCCCCTTCTGACCCAGGGCCCTGGCACTGAGCCTGCCACTCCATGTCCGTGATTCCTGCCCCAAGCCAGCCTCAAACTGCCCCGTCTGCCTGTGGCTCATTCTCCACACCCCCAAGGCCTCGTGCCCCCTTCCCCATCCCCAGCTTAAAGTATCTCCAGGGCCCATCCCACGGCCGGCCTCTCACCCGATCTTGGTGAAAGGTGGCTCTCGTGCATCGACACGAGGGCCACGCCCCTGCTCCTTCACCCTGCTGGGGTGCCAGGCTGCGCTCCCCAACCCCCAACCCCACACGTGTCCCCGGGGTCTCTGTCCCACTTGTCGCAGCTTGGTGCCACCCTTCCCCCACAAGCCCACACCGAGGCGTCCGCTGTTGGGGAGCCTGCAGAAAGGCTTGTGGGGCACCAGACCCTTCCACAGAACATGCCCCGAACATGCCCCGAACATGCCTCGCACATGCCTGCCTCTCCCTCAGTGCCTGGACCTGAGCCTCCGTCTCTCTGGCCTGGCCCGCGTCCATCTCCCTCCCAGGCCTCCTCACGCTCGGTCTTCCCGCTCTGGTGCCTCGGCAGATGCACAGAGCGGTCACCCGCCCCTTGCTAGCTGGCGTCCCGCATCTTCCTAGCCCAGAGACTGAAACGGAAAACATTAAACGCCCGGTGCGCACATCGACCAGCAGCTTGGCCAGGCTCAACGCCAAGGCCGCCTCCTTCAGGCAGCCTTCCCTCCTGCCCCCTCTCCTGTCGTTCCGCATTGCGGCGCGCTCCAACACGGGACACGCCAGCGGCTAGGCAGGGACGGGCGGTGTGAGGGAATGAATGGATGAACCAAGGGAGTGATGGGAAACGGTCTGGAGTCCGGGCAGAGAGAGAGAGAGAGAGAGAGAGAGAGAGAGAGAGAGGAGAGAGAGAGAGGCGGAGCCTGCGCGGACGCCCGCTCAGCCCTCCGGTCCCGGCTCCCGCCCAAGCACGGCGCACCCCTCCCTCATTGCCGCCCCCGCAAGCAAGACGCGCTCGGATTGGCTCAGACTTGGGGTGGAGGCGGGCCTCAGCCGAGCCGCGAGTTCCTATTGGTTTCGATGCCAGGCCTCTGCCCAATCAGCGCGATCGCTTCCTCCAGCCGCTCCTCCCCCGCTACGCCCGTCTCCCGCCCTCCCGCTCGCCAGCGCCGAGGCGGAAGACGGCGCCTTCTCGTTACCCTGGCAACCGTCAGCGGACACCCCCCCCACCTGGTCTCCTTGGCAACTCTCCGAGGCCTCCCGTCAGCCTTTGCTTGGGCCCCTCCGGTCGCCCAGGCAACCGCTACCCGTTCCGGTCAACCATCACCCGTTCTCCCGTCGCCCCGGCAACCGTCTCCAGCCGATCCCCTCCCCTCCCCCCGCCAGTCCCGCCGCCCCCCGGACGCCGAGATCCTCGGGGTCCCCCCCTTTCCCCGCCCCTTCCCCCGTCCCCTCCCGCCCTGCAAGGGGCCGCCCCGGGCGCTGAGGCCGCGCGCAGCCCCCCGCCCGGACCCCTGCGTGCTGGGACCGTCCAGCCGCCGCGGCGGGGAGCTCTTCAACATGCAGGCCATGTCCCTCCCCTGCTGAAAGCCCTCCCCGGCTGCCCCTTGAGACTCGGAGCCCAGCGCCAGGGTGGAAAGGCGGTGGCCTCTGCGGCAGCCCCCGGCTCCTTCCCGCCTGGGCCCTCCCTGGGCCTGGGCGACCCCTTTACCTGAGAGCCTACCCATCCCAGCTCGCTGTCCAGCACGGGGTGTGTCCTGCTTCTGTCCCCAGGACGCAGGACTGTGCTGAGTGGCGGGGCGGGGGGAGGAAGAGGCCGTCCGTACTGGGGACAGGAATGGCCCGTGGGTGGGCTTTGGCCTGGCAGGCCCACTGCAAAGAATGGGGAAGGGGGAAGGGCACTTCCAAACATGTGTGGGAAAATGCGGTGGAAAGATTTTTAATTTTCGCTGCAGAAGTTTTAGAAGCCAAGCACATCTTTTATCGTGCACTTCTTAAAAAAGTCCTGTGCGTATTCCAGAGACTGCCCCTGGACCCTCTGTATTGCAGGACACGTCCCCCCCCCCCCAAAAAAAAGCCAGACAGATAGAAATTGATGCTCTGATTACCTTCATTTGGAAGCTGGAGCCAGAGGGGCTCCTCCTCCCCACCGTGGAGGCTAATTTGGAAAAAGATGCCAGCAGCTGGAGGAGAAGTATCCCAGCAGGGTCCAGAGCCGTTTTCCCAGGGACCTGAGACTGGCCAGCCCACCCCCAAGGCAAGAGACCTTGACCTGAAAGGCCAGGATCATGATGGGGGGGAAGTGGAGCCATGGCTGGAGAACTTGGCACACCCACCCACCTTGGCGAAGTGGATTTGAAAGGCAGAGAGAGAGAGAGAGAGAGAGAGAGAGAGAGGTCTTCCATCGGCTGGTTCACTCCCCAAATGCCTATAACAGCCAGAAGCTGGGCCAGGCCAAAGCTAGGCGCCTGGATCACAATTCTGGGTCTTCCATGCGGTTGGCAGGGTAGCTGGGACTTGACCCAGGCACCCGCATATGGCATGCAGATACCCCAGGCAGTGTCTGAACCACTGCACATCAGACACCCACTCTGCACCCCCAACACTACTCTTTGAATGGGAGTACCCTCATCATCAGTGCGAACAGAACTTTCTACCAGGAAATGGCAACTGAACACTTCAGAGGTGGCTAGCGTCTCAGATGCACCGCATCTTAAAGGTGTATTTCATTTTAATTAATTCACGCGCGTGGATCTCCAGAGCCGGCTGGGGCCGAGAACTAACGGACTGGCCAGAGCAGCATGGAGGGAAGGGATGGTCTGTGCTCTGAGCGCCATGGGGGCCCCAACCTTGGCAGGGAGAAGGGTGGACCTCAGGGATCGGAGGGAGGGAGGGGCGGGGTGGGGGACTGGGTCGTGACACCTGCCGGGTGTGAATGCAGTGGGCTTGGTGTGCCTTGGGGCATCCACAATGCCTTGTGTGTGTGCGGGCCTGGGCGGGGAGAAGGGGCGTGCTGCCCAGGTCCATTCAGTCCACGACAGGTGCATGCACCTGGGCAGGGCCTGGAGTTCCCAGGAGGGCCGCTACTGGTCCACCAGGTCTTGTAGGAAGGCCCACATGTACTGGTGCATCTCCTGGGGGTGGCTCTGCGGGATCCAGTGTCCCGCGCCGCGCAGCACGTGCGTCTCCAGCCGCCCCGGCACAAAGCGGCTGCTGATGGCTCCCACCAGCCCCAGCTCGAAGTAAGGGTCCTTCTCCCCCCACAGCAGCAGGGTGGGCATGGCCAGCTCCTGGGGCTCCAGGGGGAAGTTCCTGTGGCCGAGACAGACAAGGCAGGAGAGCCGGTCCACCCCCTTCCCCAACTCCCCCCAAATCCCTGGAGCTGCTGCTGCTCCTGGGTAGGTGGGGGTGGGGGTCTCACCTGAAGAGGTTGCGGTAGTAGTTGATGGGTCCTGTGAGCCCACCGGGCTGCGAGAACTCATACAAGAAGGCCTCGAGCTCAGCGGGAGTCAGGCGGGGGATGCCCGTCTTGTGGTGGGTGAGGGTGCTTTTCAAGATCTGGGCACACGGCGGGTGGTGGCGGGGTTGGGGCGTACACGGGCTTCTGTGCTCAGTCCCACCCACCAGCTCTGCCTTCCGCCCCGCCCACCCCTGCTGCCCACCTGCTCTGCCCCTCCCTACCCCCTCCCCAAGCCGCTGCACCTGGAAATCAGACATGGAGAGCAACTTCTCTGGCAGCCAGGGCAGCTGGAACAGGAAGACGTAATTGGATCGGAAGAACTGGCCGATGTGGCGCATGGAGTAGTCTGGGGGAGGGTGAGGTGGGGAGGGTGAGGTGGGGAGGCGGGGGTGGGGTGGGGAGGAGATGTGAGGCCTGGGGCCTGGGCCTGGGGTGCCCTTGCAATCCTACACACACCCGGGTGGGCACACAGGCCTCGGGGTGGGGGGCGAGTCTTCACGGCGGCACTGGCCGGGCCACTAGCGTCCTGCCATTGTATCCACAGGATGGGAGTGGGCGCTCCCCTGGACAGTTCCCCAGGGAGGGAAGAGGGGACGCCCTCACAGTCACAGGTGTGCTTAGGCCTGGATGCACCTGCTCTGAGCCATCTCACAAACACTATCGAGCACTTGCTATATGCCAGAGCTGGGTTCCAGACCCTAGGGTATAAAATTCTCCACCCTCAGGGACCTAGAGGAGAGGAAGGGACCCACAGTTGGATTAAACGCAGGTGGTTGGTGATGCCGGGCGGGTGGGACTGTGGCACAGCAGGTGGAGCCACCGCTGGGGACGTGTCTGTCCCCCGTATGGGAGTGCTGGGTTCCAGTCCTGGCCATCACCTGCTCTGGGTTTCAGCCTGGCCCAGCCCTGGCTGTTGAAGTTCATCTAGAGAATGAACCAGTGGATGGAAGAGCTCTCACTCCCTCTCTCTCTCTCTCTCTGTTGCTCTGCCTTTTTTGTTTGTTTTTAAGATTTATTTGAAAGAATTATAATGAGAGAGGGAGAGGGAGGGAGGGAGAGAGAGAGATCTTCCATCCACTAGTTCATTCCCCAAATGGCTGCAACGGCCAGGGCTGGGCCAGTTGAAAGCTAGGAGCCAGGAGCTTCTTCCAGGTCTCCCATGTGGGTGCAGCAGCCCAAGCCCTCGGGCCGTTCTCTGCTGCTTTCCCAGGCACATTAGCAGGGAGCTGGATTGGAAGTGGTGCAGCTGAGACTCCAATGGGTGCCCTTATGGGATGTTGGCACTGCTGGCTGCAGCTTCACCCACTGCACCACAATGCTTGCCCACATCACGCTTTCCTAAGCCAAGGAGCCTCCTGTTGGCTACTGCATGTAGGTTCCCTGTTTGATGAGCTCAATCCCATATGGGCGCCGGTTCATGTCCAATCCAGCTCCCTGCTAATGTGCCTGGGAAAAAGCACCAGAAGATGGCCCAAGTCCTTGGGCCCCTGCACTCACATGGGAGACCCGAAAGAAGCTCCTGGCTCCTGGTTTTGGATTGGCTCAACGCCGTTGCAGCCATTTGGGGAGTGAACCAGTGGATGGAAGACTTCTGTCTCTCTGAACCAGTGGATGGAAGACTTCTGTCTCTCTCTCTGCTTCTCTCTCTCTCTCTGTAACTCTGTCAAATAAATACATAAAATCTTAAAAATCTATATATAAATGAAATATTTTTTTTAAAAAAGACTTGAACTTCATCACTAAGATAGCCCATTAATGGATACCCGCATGTTGCCGTTGATTTCTCAACAATGTTGCAGTGGATTCCTTTCTGAGAGGAGCAGCGTGGTGGGGGCAAGAGGCGTGGAGTCACCACACAGACCCCGGGAGTGGGGTGAAACCACGCTTGAGGCGAGCAGCCCACAGACTCCTTTATTACAGTTGGAACAATATCTTATATAGCCAAGACCAGCCAATCTGGTCAAGGGGCGGTCTATGCCCCAACCAATCACAGCCTGTTGCCAGGCAGGCTCCGTTGCCAGGTGGGTTTCAAAGCCATTCCTGAGTAACTGACACTCGCTTGCCAGTGGCCACCTTGGCATGGCCTTCTTATTCCACCACACCCACAAATATTAAAAAAAAAATGCAAATCCAAAACACTTCGGGTGCCAAGCATTTTGGATAAGAGATCCTCAACCTGTCCCTGTTATTAACGTGCTCCAAGATTCCGGGTTCCTCCCACCTGCGTTGCCCTGGGGGAAGAGGGCCCCCAGTTCACCTGGGCACACTCCCAGCCCCCTAATGTGCTCACCGGAGGACCCACAAGTGCACACAGGTGCATCCCCGACTCCTGCACGCACCTTGGTACACGGACATGGGGGCCGCGCTGACCACCACCATCCTTTCGATCAGGGACGGGAAGTAGATGGAGAGATTCCAGGCCAGGAGGGCACCCCAGTCGTGGGCCACGAGGATACATTTGGAATAACCTAGAGGTGGCAGGAACTGGCTTAGAGAGGCGAGGGAGGGTGTGCCGGGCAGGGGCGGATTCCTGCGGCAGTGGGAAGCAAGAAGGAATGGGGGAAGGAACCCTGTGTCCGCACCCAGGCCCTGGATGACATCTTGGATGTCGGCCATCAGCAGATCCATGGTGTAACAATCCACATCCTTGGGCGCATCCGAGGGCCCGTAACCACGCAGGTCCACAGCCACGACGTGGAAGCGGCTCTGGAACTCCCGGAGCTGGTAGCGCCAGGAAAACCTGCCGGGGCGGGTGGAGTAGTGTGGGGTGGGAGGGGTGGAGTTGAATCAGGCTCTTTCCCCCCACCCCGTCTCCGTCTCCCACCCATGTCACTCCTGCTCGACGTCCAGGAGGAATCTTTGGGGGACCTCACCTTCGTGCTCCACTTGGGCTGCCCCCTGCCCCTGGCATCCCACCCCCATATATAGCCCCAGGCCTACCAGTTTTCGGGGAAGCCGTGCAGGAATAGCATCAGCGGCCCGTTGCCGCGGCCGGCCGAGACGTAGTGCAGGCGAAGCCCGGAGCTCTACGGGGAGAGGCGCCACATGAGGCCCAGGGACCACCCCGGGGACCCCGGCCCCTCCCACACGCACCCGGCCTGCGCTCACCCTGAGGGTCAGCACGCAGTGCTCGCCCAGCGCCGGGTCGTGCAGGCAGGCGGGGGCGGCGCGCCGGGGGCGCCCGCAGCAGCCGCGCCGCGGCCGGCACAGCACGTGCGCCAGCGCCACGCAGCCGTAGACGGCGGCGGCGGCCAGCGCGGCGGAGAACACGAGGCTCCACAGGAAGGCGCGCAGCAGCTTGAGCGAGAGGCGCGACGGCGCCAGCAGCGCCGTCACCACCAGCTCGGGCATGTCGCCGCGCTGCGGGCCGGCGGCCGCGCTGCCGTCGTCGGGGGCGGCGGGCGGCGGTGACGGCGACGCGGGATCCGGGCCGCCGCGCGCACCGCCTTTGGCCCCGAGCTGCTCCGTGCCGCCGGGCTTGTGCGGGGACGCGTGGACGGAAACGGGGGGCCGGCGGTGGCCCTAACGCACGACGCGCTCGCCCCAGTGCCAGGTGAAGACTGGGCGCGACAGCGGCGGGGAACCGGTCTAGGGTGCGGGGTGCGGGGGCGGAGCCTGCGGGGAGCGGGTGTGGGAAGCGAGGCAGTGGGCGTGGCCTTGAGAGCACCTAGGACGGGGCTCCCCGCAGTAGGTGTGTGACTAGGAACCCCGAAGGGACCGAGAGGAGACGCCCCTCAGGCTGAAGTGGGAGGAGCTTAGAGAGAGGGGGCGGCGCTTGTACAGAGGGGGTGCGGCCTAGGAGCGTTGTCGGGGATGAGGGCGTGGCTTGGGCGAGCAGTAGGAGGTAGCCTGGAAGGGGGCGGAGTCTAATATTGGGCGCGGAGGCTGGGCCAATGAGCTGCGGGCTGACTTGGAGCCAAGCCAATGAGACGGGGCGGAGGCGGGGCCGGAACCTAATATGGCGGGGCGGGCGGGCCCGGAAGCGGAAGGAGAGGAGCGCAGGGTGTGCGGCTGGGCTTTAGGAGTGGGGCGCGGGCGCCGCAGCGGCCCGAGGAGGGCTCTGGAGGTTCCTGGCCGCCCCCGCACTGGGAGCTCCCCGACCTGGAGCGCGCGCCACTGTCCCCTCCCTGGCCTGGCTCTGAGGGACCTCCCAGCACCGTCTCAGCTTTGGTTCCAACGGCGAGTCCAGAGGCCTCGGCCCCGCGCCGCCGTCCAGTTGGTCCAGCGAGCCCAGCGGCCGCCCCTGCGCAGCTGTGATTGGACAGCGGCGGGGTTCCGCTGGTGGCGACCAGCTGAGAAAGGAGGACTGGGCCGTTGAGTCCGTGGGGGCGCTGGCTCAAAGAGGAAGCTGTTTGGGCAGGGCCAGGCGTGGTGGGGCCCCCAGGTCACAGCGCCCTGGCCCTGCGCTGTCCAAAGCCACAGCTTCCTATTCTGCAACCCTCCCCCAGTATCCGTTCCCGGGGACACCCATCCTTTTTTTTAAAAAAAAATTATATATATATATATATATATGGGCAGAGTTAGAGAGAGGCAGAGAGAGAGGTCTTTCCTTCGGCTGGTTCAGTCCCCGGATGCCTGCAATGGCCAGAGCTGGGCCCATCCGAAGCCAGGAGCTTCTTCCAGGTTTCCCACGTAGGTGCAGGGGCCCACGCACTTGGGCGATCTCTTGGGATGGTTATTCAGGTCTGTCACTTTGTGTTTCTGGAAGGCAGGGTTAGAGACTGGAGGTGGCAGCGATCTTCCAAGCACAGGTTCACCTCTCAGCAGCAATGGTTTCCAAAGGGCTGGGCCAGGCTAAAGCCAGGAGCCTGGAACTCCACCTGGTCTCCCACGTGGGTGGCAGAGCCCTGAGCCATCTTCTTGGGCCATCACCTGCTCTTCTCCCAGGTTGGATGGGAAGTAGAGCAGCCGGGACTCACACAGGATGGCCGTGATGGCCCCCTCATTTCAAACACTGCTTCCTCTCCTTGCATTGCTATCCGTGTACCCCTCTGTCTAGTCACAGCTGCTACACGTTATGCCCTGTCCTGGGAGCACAGGGACGTCCAGTTACAGCGTCCTGAACACGCAGCCTGCATTGCACTCACTCTGGTTTCCACCCTTCCTCCCCTCACCCCGCCCGTGTGTGTCACAAGGTTGATGTCCTATCCACTGCTCTCCAATCACTCTGTCAGTGTGCCCGGGCTGCCTGGCTATGGTGGGTGCCACGGGGCCTCCCTCCCCCTCCACTCCTCTCCCACACGGCACCCCCTCCCCTTCCCCTAGGAACAAGACAGTCACAGGAATGTAACTTTATATTCAGTACAAATGTTTATTTTTGCAATGAGAACTGCACAAAAAAAAAAAAAAAAAAAAAACTTCAGTATAAGTGAAAAGTCTACGAACTCCCTTCTACAAACGTCTAAAGTGTTTAATACAAGTCTCAGGTTCACTGACATAATTATTGGCCAAGCGATCCGTGCATACAGTACAGTGGGGGAGGGGCTTGTACACACCTCTAACTCTTGGGAGGAGAGGGGGAAAAAAACAAACAAAAACAAAACAAAACAAAACAAAAAAACAACTACAGCTGTTTCTAGTACCGCGGGGAGGGCTCCAGGAGGTGGCTGGAGGAATGAACAGACCCCGGTTCTGGTTCTGAGTGCAACCCAGTTAAAGAGATTCACGCCCATCGGAGGAAGTGGGTGGGGGAAGGGTAGAGAAAGCCCCGGCCCAATTCACCTGGCAGGTGCCCACAGAACCATCTGCAGCACCGGCCCTGAGACCCAGCCTGGGGAAGTTTCTGAATAAAAGCGAGTTAGGCTGGGGGGGTGGGGGTGGGGATGGGGTGAGCCGGAAGAAACCCCCGAAAATCCAAAATAACTAAGATCAGCACGCTGGCGTGTGAACCCGCGCCCGGGACGTGGGAAGCAGAATGGAGGAAGAAGCCTCTGGCCGGGCGCCTGAACTTGACCCTGGGAACACGGGCAGTAAGGGGGAAGGGGGAGGGGCTTTCGGGTTCATTAACAGGGGGAGGACGAGGTCTCTGCGCACACGTGCATCGCACACCTGCGTCTTCCTTTCGCGTGTGCACACGCGAAAGCCCTGTCTGTGGGGACGTCCACTTCCTCTAAGGAAATCTGGGTAACCCTGAGCGTAAATGAAAGGAGGGAAGCGGCTCCAGGCCTTTGGTAAGTGGGCGGGGCTGGAGGAGGAAAGGAGAATACTGTCTATGTATGCTCGGCCAGGGTTCTGCAAGGCTGGGCTGCCCACCTTGGCTGGGGTCCCCTAATCGCAGCTTCAGGCCAGGGGGACAGGCTGTGGGAAGGGCTGGGGTGGGGCAGGGTGGGGCTGGGGCCCTGGGCCTGACCCAGGCAACAGGTGGTTCACAAAGAAAATGTCAGGGAGACGCCAGCATTAAAAAAGAGAGATGTGTTTATTCCATGATCAGTACAGACCAAATGCATATTCACCGTATGAAACTCAAACCAGTCAGTGACTCCAGAGTTTGGCCAACACTGAGGCACCAGCGTCGTGGTGTAGGGTGGGTTCTCATGGCACGCGTAACCTCATTAAGGGCTCCAATTATAAAATTAAAAAAACGAGCGGAGGAAGGAGCAGTGGGGGGGGGGGGGGGCCAGGGCCGGGCACGTGGGGCTGGGGGCTGGGGGGTCAGCCTCAGGTCTCTGGCCCCCTCCACCCCTGATCCCTTGACCCTGAACTGCCCAGGGCCCACTTCATCCCTTGGCCCTGCCCGTTATTGGTTTTAAAAAAAAAATTCAAACAGATTTGACATAAAAAAAAAAAAAAAAAAAAAAAAAAAAACACAGAGAAGCTGCCGCCAACAGATTGGCAGTGGCGGGGAGGGAAAAGAAATTGTAGCTTTCTGGTTTTATAATTAAAAACAGACTAATAAAAGTTGGAGACTGAGTAAAATATAGGCTGTGTGTGTGTGTGTGTGTGTGTGTTTTGGTTTTTGTGGATTTTTGTGTTTTTTTTTTTTTTTTCCTTTTGTAAATTATTTTTTTTTACACCAGTTTGGTGGAGTCACCAACAAACTTCCAACAAAGGTATGCCAACTATGCTCACTACACAGTACAGCCACGGTCACACACTACCCACAGCGCGGCGCGGCCGCCGCTCGAGGAGGGACGATCACACCATTTGGAGATAAGCAGTGCCATTGTGTCTGGAGGAGAAGAGAGAGTTAAAAATAAAATAGACTTCAACGACAACAAAAAATATATATATATAGAAAAAAAAAAAAAAACCCAGAAACACAGGTGGGCAGGGAACTGACTTTGGTTGGTGGCCGCACTCCCCAGGCAAGGCCCCGCCCACGCGTGCCGGTGGGGGGGGAGGGCGGCCGCCGCACTCGAAATCACCGAGTCCCGAGGACACACAGCTCGGCGGCACTATTCCCTTTTGCACAAGCGAACACTTACAGAGAGCGGCTCTCCATTAAAGGCTTGTGGGGGAGAAGGGGGTCTGTTCAAGGCAAAGTCAGTGCCAGCGAGGGGTGGGCCGGGGCCCTCGCCTGCCTCCAGCCCCCCGGGGGGCCTGCCCTGGCCGCCGGGGACTGGGTGGCGATGGCAGGGGCGCGGGGGAAGGGCTCCCCGGCAGGCAGGACGTCACCAAACGTCACGTTCTCAGGAACAGAAAACCAGTCAATGGTGGCAGCGGCAGCCGTGTCCCGTGTCTACTGTGTGGCTCCCTGCACGCAGAACGCAGGGCCAGGTCCGAGCGAGCGCCAGGCGGACGTCCCGTGAGGGGGTGGCGGGTGGTGGGCCGTCGCTCCGGCTGGCTGTAAGGCAGACAGGCTCTGCGATCCTCAGCTGCCCGTCAGGCCTGCCCCGGGCATAGCATGCAGGAGGGCCAGGCCAGGAAAATCACCCCCTGGCCGCTGTGGCCGCCTCCACCGCCGCCCCTAACACTATGGAGAGTCAACGTTTTGCCAGAAAATCAAAGTCACAAGTCACCTAGGTGCTCTCAGAAAAGATTTTCTTCAAATATTGACAATAGATCACTCTGGAAATTCATGTCGATCGTAGCTGTCATCTGGAGAGGAGGGAGGGAGGTAGAGTGAGGCGTGGAGCTCCGGCAGCTACGCTGAGACCTCCCCGCCCCCGGCCCATCAGCGGTTGTCTCTGAGAGCCTGCCCCGACCTCCACCCCACCCCACCCCAGCTCCTGGCAGGACCCCCACCCGTCCGGCGGCCCCTGACTCACCACCTCCCGGCGCCTTCGCTCCTGCTCCCGCTTCCGGGCCAGCTCCCTCTGCTGGTCCAGCATAGACTGGGGCTGGGAACTCTGGGCCTGGGGGGCGGCTGCGGCGGCCACGGCGGCTGCCTGCTGCTGCTGCTGCTGCTGCTGCTGCTGCTGCTGCTCCTGGCGCTGCTGCTGCTGCTGCTCCTGGCGCCGGCGCGCCTCCTCATGGGCTCGCCGCGCCTGCTCTAGCGCGTCCTCGTCCTCTCGGCTCCTGGGCACAGCAGGGCCCGCGTCAGCAGGGGCCTGTGCAGCCCGGGGACCCTGTGCCCGCTGGGAGCCCCGCCCACCTCATGCGCTCCTGCCGCAGCCGCTCCTTCTCCTTCTCCGCGTGCTCCGCCTGCGCCTTCAGGGCCTTCTCACGTTCCTCCTTCTCGCGGGCCGCACGGCGGAACTGCTCGAAGCTGTCGCTGGAGGACTTGGCGGTGGAGGATGGCGTGGTTGGATGCTTCTGCACCAGGCTGGCCCAGGAGCCCATGTTTTTGATCTTCAGGTCCTGTGGGGCAGAGGGGACGGTCAGAGGGGCGCCTCACCAGGGGCTGAGGGGCACCCTGGGCCTCTCATCCCTACCTTTTTGGGTGCAACGGGCGTCTTCGGCTCTTGCTTCTGTTTGTCCTTGTCGGGAGCACCCGGTGGGGGTGCGGTCTGCTCAGGGGGCCGGATCACAGGCCGTCCCACGTCCACAGGCTTCATCTCGGGCCCTGGAACACAGACAGCGGGCTCAGGTGCGGCCCACGCCGCAGGGCCTGAGCCCCCGCTGTGGGCGGGCAGGGCACTCACGCTGGGGCAGGTGGACGGGAGCCTTGATGCTCTCTGGGTGCTTGGGGGGCTCCGGCCGCAGCGAGGGGCTGAAGGGCTCGCTGCGGATGATGGGCGAGTGGATCTTCTCCTCCTTCACCACCACCAGGGGCTGGGGCTGCACCACAGAGGCCGCGCGCAGCTCCTGGGACAGCACAGGCACGGTGGCCGGTGAGGCAGGTGGGCGCCCCCGGCCCCAGCCCGTGCCTGACCCTGCGGGCCGCGGCCCAGCCCTGATCTTTACCTGCTTCTTAGGCTGGACATTTTGCTGGGGTGGAGACTGGTGGGTGAGGCTCTGGAACGGTGGCATCTGGGGGGAATGTATCATAAGCGGGGAAGGGGCTTCACGGAGGTGACCTAGGAGAGGAGACAAGGCGTGTGTGAGGGTCAACAGCAGAGGCTGCAGGCCCTGAGAGAATCATCCTGGGACAGAGCAGCGCAGCCTGGTCTAGCTCATGTGAAGATCCACGGCAGTCACTGGGCCCCAGTGCACCCCACCACCCGGGAAGCACGGAGTCTGCGCATCGGCCCGGCCTGGTGACTCCAGGACCCCGCAGGCAGTGGGATCCTCAGGACCTTCCCTAGGACTGCTCCCTGACTCCGCCCCACGGCAGCAGGGCGTACAACAGGTCCGGTGGGGTTATTTCCACCAAAGGCTAGGAGGAACCAGGGAATCATAGGGTCTAAGTGCCTGGGATGGATCAGGAGAAGCCACGAGCTCTGCTACCAGCCTCCAGCAAAAGAACCACTCAATCTGGACTCCTTGGTTTTATCAGCAAGGAAACCAAGCCCCCCAGCAACAAACCACCCCCTGGATTGCACCCCTGCGGCAGAGAGGGCCACACATCGCGGCCAGCTGCAGCTCAGGACAAGCCCCACTGTCCACCAGAGAAGACTGCCTCTCCGCCATGCCTCTGTACTGGTGTCCTGCTCTGTGCCCTATACGGAGCTTTGGCCGACACGGGGCCTCTGAGGACGCCTCCCTGGCCAGAGCCACCTGTCTTGGTGGGCCTGGAGCTGGACACAGTGCTCCAGGTGTGGCGGGTCCCTTTGTTCCTTCCTGGAGCTAGCACCTGGAGCTAGGCTGCCCCGCCCCGATCTTTCCTCCCATTTCAGTTATCAGGGATCCCTCCCCACCAAGACCACAGCCCACAGGACAGGACTGTGATGGCTTCTGATCCGGATGCACTCTCAGGAGTGGTGAGCTGAGCTGAGCCAGACCTGGGGCCTGTGTTTTACTAGAGCTGGGCTGGGGGCGCCCGTCCTGCCGGTGAAATCCCTTAGCCTGGTCCTGCCACGGCAACCGCAGGTGAGAGCTGACATTCAATAACCCACAGCAGGATAACATTTGAAGCTGCTCGTTTTGTAACGGCCCAACGACGTCACAAACGCCCAAATTTTGGCCCCTGGCGGAGAAAAGCTTCCCCACCCGTTTTAGAGGAACAGCTAGCTGGCTGGCTTTAGGAAGAGGCTCACTGATGCAGGGATGCCACCGGGAAGCTGGCCGGGCGCCCGCTGCTGCGACCCTAACAACCTGGCTTTTAGCCAGAGGCCTCAACTGCCCTGATGGAGGCTACGGGAGCTTGTAGGGGGCCTGCGAGCTTGAGGTAGAGATCCAGGGTCCCCAGTGAGTGGACCCTGAGTGCCAGCTCTTCACCTGCCCACAGCTGCCCCCTCTCCCTACCCTGGGGTGGGGAAGAGTGGCAGCTGGGCTGTGGCTTTTCCCAGGGCAGGCAGACAGCTGCCCTCCCCTGGCTCAGGGCACACAATGATCCACTTGGCATCTGGCAGCTTCTGCTGCGGCTTAGCAAGCAGTCCTAGTCCTGACTTGTGGCCCAGTTTGCAGGCAGCACCTGGTGCAGCCCCAAGACAGGAGGTCTGCACTGCCAAGGCCACGACCCCTGCCCTGACGGTGACATGAGGTACCAAGTGGCATGTTTCCCGCTGGAGCCAGCCAGAACATCTGGGTCACCAACACTTCAAAAACAAGAACACAGGGCGAGTGAGCCCTTCTTTCAGCCCCTTGCTGCAGCCAGAGCCCCCAAGCACCAGCAGAGCATTGAGGCCCCTGTCCCATCACAAAGGGAAAAGCAGAGCCTGGACTTGGCAGTGAGACGGGTCCTGGACGGGCACTGAGCTAGCTGCCGATGAGGGACTCAGCCCCCAGGGTCCCGCAGAATCAGTGTGGAAGCCTGCAAGGAGCTCCAGAGGAGAACCGAGAGAAGCTGAACCTGGGCTGTCGGAGTGGAGCAGACACCTGGCTGAGAACCGCAGGAAGCACCAGGAAACCCTTTGTGCAGACCCCGCCTCCAACTACTCAGCGCCTGGGAGCTTGGCACGGTCCCTAAGGGCTTCCTGACCCTCCGAGAGTCTGGGCAGGGGCACTCACCAGTTGCGTAAGGGTCCGACTTATGATGCCGTGGTGAAGGGTGATGCTGGATGACTTGCTGAGGCTTGGCGGGCTGTGGTGGTGGGGGCTGCTGGCCTGAGGGTGGGTGTGGGGGCTGCTGGCCAGGGGGTGGAGGGGGCTGTTGGATGTGGGCGGAGAACGGCATGGGCTGTAAGTGCACGGGCCGCGGCGGGGGCTGGTGCTGCTGGGGAGGAGGCTGGGG